TGTGACTCATGCGGCCAGAAGGGCAAAAAAGGAATCAAAATGAACGGAGTTTCGGTCACCGTGTAGGACTCGTGCAATCAATTCCCTGCGTTTCTGCCTGAAATGGTCCAACTCCCCGTGAAGACCTACCAGCAGGTTTTTAACAGAAGAAGGGAAAACGGAATAAGGGTATTATGTGTTGGTAACGCGACGAAATAGGATGTCACTCAAGTGGCGAAGTTTGGTCATCGGCCTAGAACGCGACGGGCTGCTTGGATGGATCCGATCATTTGCCGCTTGCTGAAGTTTTGCTTCCTTGAGCTATGTGTCCGGACCGCATTGTTATGCGAGGATCCTGTCTCCCGTTTCGGCGTGAATACAGTGCCGCAACAGTGAAGAAAACTTTCCCCCCCGTCTACCTGTCTTACGGGAATGGTGGTAGAAAGGGTTGTACGGGTGGGTCTCTAAAACGTGCCAAACAGCAAGTAATATAGTGCGCGATAATTAAAAAATTACATTTACGCCAAAATTTGTTTTAATGCATCAAACGAACCTCATTTATGACCTTCACGCTGAAAAAGCAGCCTATGGGAAGCCGGGAGCGGACCTAGGACATCATGCGTTAACGCTATTGGCCGGGTTAGAACGGAAGCCGTAGTGGCCAGAGGCCTGACCAATGGGCTGATGGGAGTGCGTGTGTTTTGCGCGCTGGGCGGAAGAAAATTAATGGCGTAGGGTTTGCCGTTTTCTCTGAAAAAGGCAACAGCAGAGAGGCATCGGGTGCGCGATAGTAGTTATGGCCAATGGATGCCATTGCGCCGTTCACGTACGCATACGACTTGCATGGCGGTAGGTCGAGCAGGGACGAAAAGCGGTTGATTAGGTAAAGCAAGTTCGTTAATTATGGTGTGCCTATGAACAGGTAGGACAGAAATGTAGTATACAGTATGCTGTACGGGGAGGAATATGGAACCCTAGGTTAGGGTTAGCGGAGACTGTGAAATGTGGGCATTTTAAGAAGATGATCACGCTCTGTCCTAACCTGCCTACACACTGGTTAATGAAGTAACCAACTGATGTAATAGCATGAATTTTTCGCATTGAATCAATTATATTTCATGGAAAACATGCAAAAAAATATGTATTTGTTGCCCATTTGGTACAAAATTACGTCTCCTACCAACTTTATACTCAAATTCGGTTGGAAAAAGTTCCTAATTATGACATTTTTTAATAACCGTGGAATGCCCATTCATAAAACACAGCGTCTCTGTAGTTGCTGATGTTGCTTGTAAAGTTTACAATATGGTTCAAATCCACTGCTGAATTCTGTGGACCGCCTATGGTCTCCTCTTAATACCGGAAGGTTTTCCGTGCGCGGAAAATATATGGCCCGAGTTTCTGAAGTCTAAATGTAAGTTTAACTGCTGGTCAGGTTCGAAATTATGCGGGAATTAGGAAAACTCTTCGAAAACTGAATTAAAGCCTTCCTTTGAGTTTAAAATTTGGAAGATGATGCAATTTTCTATTCAGGAAATAAAAAAATGACTACGTTTATGCACATTTTCCATGAAATATAATTGCATTTTTAACGGTATCGAACATGAATGAGAAAAATTCAAGCTACTTAAGTAGTCATTTTCTACAGAGTGTGGGTTTTGCAGTCGGCCAAAAAGAAGTTCCTTCGAAAACCGACATCCCGTGGTAACTGAATCACTATAGATTTACACTGCAAGATCATTAATTTTGCGACCCTGCCTAAGTGATCTTTTCGAAACGAAGAAGCATTTCAGAATTTCAGTTGACATTTCTTGAGTTAGTCCACCTACTTTAGGTAAAGCTGTAATATTAGTTAAAGCGTAGAACAATCCCATGACATATCGGTTACCTCAGGTGAACCGGTATTTGAACAACCTTCTTTCCGGCCGCCCGAATAAACTGCACCCCGTGCAAACATTACCACCTAAGTAGTATAGTTTGTTATCATTGATTTTGAAACCCTTATAATATTAACTATAATTCATACAAGACATGCATAAGAATATTCATTCTTTTACTCATGGGGCAGAAAAGTACATCTACTTCGAATTTTATACCCGGAAGAAGGGTGTAAATCGGCTCAAAAAAACTTCCTTTTCCCGAACAATTTTGGTCGCCAGTTGCCAGTGTACTTGCCCGCAGGCCTCCCAAAACGGCACGTCGTACATCTGCCGTGTACGGCATAACTTATATTTTATGCATTATATTAAGGGGATATCAATGGGGATTTATAAGATTAAGCAGTGGATTTTAGCTATATCACAAGTCATATTAGTAAATGCAGAGTTGGGATATTGTATAAACTAGCATGTCATGGTCTTAGTAATCTCATACTTTGAAACGTCTGAAAGGCCTAATTACACCCTTTCTTCCGGTACGGAATTTGAGGTAGACGGAGACATAACTGTCTTCTAAATAAGTAAAAAATGAGTGTGTGTATGCATGGTGTTTATGAAATATATTTGCATTCAGGAGGACATCGGAAGTCAATGATAATAATTCGTACTATTGGCATCCTGAAATAACTGAATTATTGTGGGATTATGCCGCACGGTAATGAATGCTGCAAGTCGACCCACGCAAAATTTTTGAATCGAAACAGGAGTTCGGAATTCCGGCTAACATTCCGCGAGTTTGCAAATCCGCCGGACCTCACGCGAAGGCAGTTAGGAATGTGAATGGATTATTCAACAGAGAGCCTCCTAATAATAATGCCATTGGTAGATTACGTACACGAAGTCACTAGCAAGGCCACCATAGTAAACCGTGCCATAGACAGTAAAACGTTTGCTTAGGTAACACAGTGTGGTCTGTTATGAAAGTAAGTCCCGAGTACGTTAAGGAGTATTTCAAAGCATGCATCGGCATTTATAAGTACTCGACGCACCCACAGATGTGTACGTTATCGGGTACTAATGCAGGCTGGAACCGGTGGGGAAGGGGAGGAGTGAGCGAACAGATAACATGAGTAAAAGACCCGGAAAACGCAGGTAGTCTGCCTTGCAACTAATTGTCTACAATTATTACTTATATGAGCAGGAAGTCTAAGAAATTCTCTGCGGCTTAGACAACTGCATGAGTTCATTAGATTGGTTATACTACTCGCCTTCATCGTACGGCCTGGAAGACCCATACTAAATAAGAGAGCGCTACCTCTGCAGGCAAAGAACTAATAAGTAGTTGGCAGTATCGTAAAAGGAGATAGCAAACGAAAAGGACGAAGTTTACTATTAAGGTGGTTACTTACGAGTAGTATAGCGGGCCAAGAGCTGCGTATTTTTATCTACCCAATGTCATGAGATGTTTTAATTCCGTGAAATGACCGTCCATAAAACATTATGCTCCTGTAGTTAGTAATGTTGCTGGTAAAGTTTACGATATAACTCAAGTTCCCTGCAAGATTTAATGAACCCCTTATGGTTTCCTCTTAATGTATGATATTCCTCACGCAGAAAATATATGATGTGTAGGTTCTAAACCTTGAATGCATGCGTGACCGCAGGTAGGGCTCAAAGGTAATCGGGAATTGGAAGATGTTTAGAAAACCAAATTATACCCTTCCTTTGAGTATGAAATTTAAAGAAGACATAATTTTCTACTGGATGAGTGAAAGAAAGAATAAGTTCATGCGTGCTTCCCATGACATGGAATTTAATTTGCAAGGCGCTCTAAAGTCTACGACAAAAATCATACTATATAAATAGTCATTGTTTGCGAAAGGCCGGTGTTGCATGCGACCGGAAAGATGTTCCTTTGAAAGCCAGCGTCCTGCGGTAAATGAATTATTATATGATTAAGCTACGTGATTATTAGGTTCAAAACCCTACCTAAGTAATCTTTTCGAAACGTAAACACCTTTCAGAAATCCAGTTAACATTTGTAGACTTAGCACACTGACTCATATCGCTGACCGATAGTACTAAGTATGTCACTGCTACATTTATCTGCCGAACAGCAGAGAGCAGAAGTAATGGTTACGACTGATACTGCTAGTAGTAAATGAATGAATTAGCTAGTAATACGCCAACACGAATGACGTGTGGAAGTGCCGGGTTACGTCTGGGCTGCTGCCAGTTGTGGAATCGAGGCTTTACGGCCACCATTGAACTGCCTGCGTGAAACAAGCCTACTGCAAGTCCTACCGGACTTAAGGCAATGCCGGTACGGCCGCTTCTGTAAAACGTACTGTGCTAGTCCCCACGCGAAAACGTAAGTCTGCTGCGTAAACCCCCGTAAAGGTAAAGTTAGTGTACTTGGCTAAAAATCGGAGTAATATGGCAAAGCAGTTGTCTGCATATGGAAAGGCAGTCCATCCATCGGTAATTTTCGTATACGCAGGTAGTACCGATAACACTAGCACAAGATGTTACGAGCACAATCAGTTGAAGATATGACAATGCAGATCCTGCTGTTGTTGGTGCCGTCCTAGCACAAGTACGACGTAGGCTATGGGGACTGCTAAGTCTAGGACTATCAATAATGCTACCGCGAGTGTGCATTAGTTAGCTTGTGTACCGAAGTTTACGTAGACTAATCATTCTGCAGAACGCCTGATGGCGTTGTGTAATCCCCTTCTACGGCTACGACAACTCTTACTGTCGTCAAAGGTCAACGGTGAATATTGCGAACAGTAAACCAACAAGTGGAAAAATAACGGATACTGTTGTCGCGAGGGGTAATTTTTCAGATTTAATCTAAAACAACTAGTCATTTTCTTCCGGTGAATACCTTTGCCGAACGCAGGGAAACTGCCTGTTCACTGGTAAGAGAATAATATGACGTTTAAAATCGAAATATTGAACCGAGAAGTAAATTTCAAGTCACACATCCGTCCAAATTAAGTATGTCTAGCGCAACCTGTTTAATTTACGTCAGCGACATTTCCGCCTAGGTAGTGAGGTTGCGCCGACAGATGGCATGTCCCTATGAATGCCGTCAGTGAACAGCGTACAGTCCTAGCTGTCCACTAAGTGCCTGCAGACATGCGGCGGCCACCCCAACCACCCGTATTCTTTGTTCTCGCGGTCGCAAAGCGCTGGCACGAAAAGGCATGGGTAGGTAGGGTCCAAATGCAGACACCCACTCAAGGGTCTTCATGTCCGACCCTGCGTGACCTCAAAGTGTTCGTAATGCTGCAACAACTGTTCCCACAGCCGCACTCGGTGTCGTATGCCTGCATGCTCCCCTCCCCCACCCCGTCAGACCAGTCATCATGCTCACAGTTTTAAGCTAAACAAAGCCCTCGAGTTTTCTGACTGGCCTGAACTGGCCACTAGGCGAGGGTGGTGTTGGCCTTGGACGGCGCCTCTTCAAGCGGCTGCCGTCGAGACATGACCACCGGCCCACTATCGCAACCGGTAACCTCCCCCCCCCCAAGCCCTACTACCCTAGGCTATCTGAAATGTATTCACGTGCCCTGTGTTTGTTCATTGTCCGAGTCACATGATAGGACGCATGCATGGATAAGCATACACGAGCTGCAAGAACCACCCCTACGACATGGTGTGATGGCGTTCTAGTCGCATTTAACCACAGCATGAATTCTCCTAACTTCCACCTAAACGCACTTTCCCACCTCGGTAAGCCGGTGACCAGCCCTCCGGGTAAACTGGTAAGCCAGCGTACGGCCTTCCGAGATGTTAACCGGGTAAACGGATAAGAAATCACCTCGGTACCGCTGGCATCACTACCACTACCCCATCGGTAGATGCAAGATTTGCGCAGCGCATACTACCTGAAAGACTGTTACTGCCAATGGATTTGCAACTAACACTACCGCTAGTAGCAGTGCCACTGTTAGTGAAAAGACATACTGCGGATGCTCGCAATGCTTCTACTACTACTAATACTACCACTATTATTACTAACACTACTACTAGTATCACTACTGATACTACCACTACTACTACCAGCACCAATACTACTGCTACTAATACCACTACTAATAATACTACTACTACCACTATTACTACTAATACTACTACTACTGCTACTAATACTGCTATTACTAGAAGTAAAACTACTAGTAATACTACTACCAACACCACTACTAATACTACTGCTAATACCAACAAAACTACTATTACTAATGCTAATACTACTACTAATACTACTATTGTTAATACTACTGTTAATACTACTCTTACTAACACTAATACTACTATTAATACTACAAGTACCACTACTACTACTAATAATACTAAAAGTAAAATTACTACTACTAAAACGAATCAAATAATACTACTACTGATACTACTATTACTACTACTACTACTACTACTACTGCTTTTAATACCAATGCAAATACTACCACTACAACTACTATTACTAACACTACTATTACTATGACAACTACTACTACAATTACTACTACCGCTACGACTACTGTTAGTAACACAAATACTAAAACTACTGCTAAAACTAATGCTAAAAAAACAACTACTACTAACACCAGCACTACTAATACAATAACCAACAATACTACTACTACTACTACTACTACTACTACTACCAGCACCACTAATACGGCCAATAATACCATTACTACTATTGCTAACGGTACTAATAATACTACTAGAAATACTACTGATACTACTTAAACTGCGGCTACTACTACCAATATTACTACTATTATTACCACAATTACTACTACTACCAATATTACTACTACTACTACTTCTACTACTACTACTACTACTACTATTCTACTACTACTATTCTACAACTACTACTACTACTACAGCCACGACTACAGAAATAACTACTACTACCACAATCAGCAACACTACTACTGCTATCACTACCACTACTACTATTACCGCTACTAATACTTTGCTGCTAATGCTACGGCTACTACTACCACTATTACTACTATTAACGACAGTACTATTAATATTAATAATACAAAAATTACTAATACTACAACTACTACTGCTAACACTACTACCACTACCACCAACATTATTACTACCACTACCACCAACATTACTACTCCTACTACTACTACTATTACTACTACTGCTACTATAACTACTAATATTGCTAATATTACTATTACTGCTAAGACTAATACAACTATCGCTGCTACTACTACTACTACTGCAAATAATACCAAAAGTACGTCGATTACTACCAATACCACGACTACTACTACTACTAATATCACTGGTACTTATACTACCATTACTACTACTACCACCAAAATTACTACTAACACAACCACTAACACCACTACTAATACAACCACCGCTAAAATTATTGCTATTGCTACTACAACCAACTGTATATTACTGCCAGTAATACTAACAGTACTACAACCAATAATGCTACTAATAATATTACTGATACAATTCTACTAGGACTAATGCAAATACTACTACTAATAGTACTGGCAATACTGCTACTACGAATACTGCTACTACTAATAATACTACTACTACTACTACTACTACTAAAGCTACTTCCACCGCTGAAATTGTTGCTATTACTACTGCTAATGCTAACAATACAACAACCTCCATTCTACTACCACGAATACTAACAGTACTACTACAACTACTAATACTACTACTAACAGTAATACTACCAATAGCACAAATACAACTACCAATAACAATACTAAAACAAACACCAACAATACTACTAATGCTAACGCTATTGCTAGTACTACTACTACTACTACTACTACTACTACTGCTACTACTACTAGTATGACTACTACTACTACTATAATCCCACTACAACAGTGGCTGCCGCTACCAATATTACTAATATTATATCATCAATTACGACTAAAATTAATACCAATACTAATACTACTACTACTACTACTACTACTAATACAACTACTACTTATACATAAAATACTGCTACTACTAAATCTAAAACCACTGCTGCCACGTCCACTACTACAAAAACCAACAACACTAATGCTAATAATACTACTACCAGCACCAATACCACTGCTACTACTAACACTACTACTACTGCTAATACTGCTACTGCTGCTTCTTCTACTACTACCTCTACTACTGCTGCGGCTAACGCCATATTACTACAAATAACACTACAAATACAAATACTACTACTACTACTAATACTATAAATGCTACTACTACTACCACTACTACTACTAACAGCAAAAATGGTAATACTACTACTACTAATGCTACTACTACTACTGCTAAAACTACTACTAATACGACTACTACTACTGCTACTACTACTATTTCTACTACTACAATCACTATACAAGCATCACTACTACTGCTACTACTAACAATAATAATGCTACAACCACTAGTACTACTTCTACTACTACTACCACCGCTACTACTAATACTAGTAATATTAGTACTTTTACCGATACTACTACAATGACCGCCATACTGCTAATACTACTACTACTACTACTACTACTACTATCTCCCCTGCCCCTTAAACAACTACAACTACTACTACTACTACTACTACTACTACTACTACTACTACTACTACTTTTACTAACACTAATAATACCATGAGTACTACTACGAATTCTACTGCCAATACTACGACCACTACTACCATTACTACCACTACTACTACTACTACTACTAATATTACTAATACTACCAACGCTACTACTACTGCTGCCACCACCACAACAATAATACTACCACTAATACAACTACTACTACTACCACCACTACTAATACCACGGCTAATGCTACTGCTGTTACCACCACTAATTCTACATCCACCACCACTGCTACTACTACTACCACTAATAATACTACTACTACTACTACTGCTACGAACACTACTACAACTAATCATAGTAATACTTATAATACTTCTACTCCTAGTATTCATACTACTAAAACTAATACTACTAATACTACTAATACTACAACTACTAAAACCACCACTGCTACTACTAACACCACCAATACCACTAATACTTCTAATATAAATATTACAACCTTTACTACCGCTGCTATTACTACTACTACTACTACAACTACATATACTACTACTACTTCTAATACAACTACTACTACTACTAGTAATTCTACTGCTTCTACTGCTAGTAATACTGCTACCCTTGATAATAATTCCACTTCGCTGATGACACCACGACTACCACAATTAATAAGGGAAATATTGATATTTGTAGTACTTCGAATAAGACTACTACTACTACTACTGCTACCACTACTACTACTACTACTACTACTACTACTTATACTACTACTAATACTACTACTAATACTAATAATAATACTAATACTGCTGCCCCCACCACCGTAATACTACCAATAATACTACTACCACTAATACTACTGCCACTACCACTACCACTATTACTAGTACTAATACAACTACTACTACTACCACTACTACTACCACTACTACTACTACTACTACTACTACTATAACTACTACTATTACTGCTACAACTTCTGCAACTACTACTACTACTACTACTACTACTACTACAACTACTACTACTGCTACTACAACAACTACTACTACTACTACTACTACTACTACTACTACTACCAGCCCCTGTATTTCTGCCGCTACTATTATTAATACTACTACCTATACTGCTACTACTACTACTAAAACCGCTAATACTAATTCTTCTACTACTACTCGTTCCACAGCTGCTAATACAAATGCGGCTACTTCCACCACTAATAATGCTATTAATACCACTATTACTACTATTGCAAATACTACTATTGTACTACTACTACTACTACAACTAATACTACAACTAATACTACTGAAACTACTACTACCAGCACCACAAATACTGCTACTGCTACCACTCATACTACTACTGCCACTACTAATTCTAGTACTACTACAACTAATACTACTACTACTACTACTACTAATACTACTACTACGACATCTATCACTAATTCAACTAGTATTACTACCACTAATGCTACTACTAGTACTACTAATAATACTACTACCACCGCTACTACTGCGGCTGCCACCACAAAAGTTCTACTACATCTAATACTACTACCATTACTTACACAAAAGTTGCTACTACTGTTACTGCTACTACTACTACTACTAATACTACTACCACTAATACTACTACTACTTCCACTACTACTTTTACCGCTGCTACAACTGCTGCGACCACCACCATATTACATCTGCCACGACTACTATCACTACAACTACTGATACTACTGATAATTGTACTACTACCACGGCTAATATTTTTGATATTACTACTGCTGCTGCTAATACTACAACCAAGTGCATACGACTAGCACTAATACGAACCCTACTACTACTACTACTACTACTACTAATACTACCACTACTTCTCCTAGTACTAATACTTACTATACTCCTTCTAGTACTGCTACTACTGCTGATAGTACTACTACTACTACTACTACCTATACTGCTACTCCTATTTCTACTACTACGACTACTAGTACTACTACTACTATAAATACTACCTCTATTACAACTCCTATTCCTGCTACTACTGCAACTACTGCTACCACTACCACCACAACTACAAATACTACTACTACTACTACTAATACTACCACTACTACTCCTAATACTACTTCTACTACCGCTACTGCTTCTCCTACTACTACTACTTCTACTTCTACTACTGCTGCTACGACTACTACTACTACTACTACTACCTCTACCGCTACTCCTAATTCTATTACTACTGCTAGGACTACTACTACTACTATTTCTACTACTACTACTACTACTACAACTTCTTCTCCTATATCTACTACTACTTCTAATACTGCTACTATTACTACTACAACTACTACTCATATTTCTACTACTACTTCTAATACTACTACTACTAATACTTCTTCTGCTACTGCCACTACTACTACTGATAATAATATTACTACTACAACCTCTACTACAACTCCTATTTCTTATACTTCGACTACTACTAGTACTTGTACTACTACTACTACTGCTACTATTACTACCACTAATTCTACTACTACTACTACTACTACTGCTACTACTACTGCTACTACTACTACTACTGCTACTAGTACTACTACTACTACTACTACTACTACCCCTAATTATTCTACCACTACTACTTTTTATGATAGTACTACCGCCACGTCTTCTACAGCTATTAATTCTACTACTACTACTACTACTACTACTACTACTACTACTACTACTACTACTACAACTACTACTGCCGCTACTACAACTACAACAACTACTAATACTACCACTGCTACTCCTAATACTACTACAACCGCTACTGCTTCTCCTAATACTACTACTACTACTGCTAATACTACTGCTACAATTACTACTAGTACTACTCCGATTTCTACTACCACTTCTACTACTTCTACTACTACTACTACTACTTCTACTACTACTACTACTACTACTACTACTACTACTACTACTACTACTACTACTACTACTACAACTACTACTACTACCTCTACTACTACTACTACTACCACCACTACTACTACTACTAATAATACTGCCACTACTACTCCTTATGCTTTTACTACCGTTACTACTTCTACCACTTTTAATTCTACTGCTACTACTACCGCTACTGCTACTACTACTACCTCTACTACTACTACTACTACTACTACTACTACTACTACTACTACTACTTCTACTACTACTACTACTACTACTACTACGAATACTACTACTACCTCTACTGCTACTCCGTATTCTATTACTAGAACTACTACTACTACTACTACTACTACTACTACTACCTCTACTACTACTCCTATTTCTTTTACTTTTACTAGTACTAGTACTACTACTAGGACTACCACTATTACTACTACTACTACTAGTACTACTGCCACTGCTACTCCTAATGCTACTACTACCGCTACTACTTCTACTACTACTACTACTACTACTACTACTACTACTACCACTACTACTACTACTACTACTACTACTACTACTACTACTACTACTACTACCACCACCACTACTACTACTACTACTAATAATAATAATACTGCCACTACTACTCCTTATGCTTTTACTACCGTTACTACTTCTACCGCTTTTAATTCTACTGCTACTACTACCGCTACTGCTACTACTACTACCTCTACTACTACTCCTATCCCTACTGCTACTACAACTACTGCTACTACCACTACTACAACTACTACTTCTACTACTACTACTACTACTGCTACTAATACTACCACTACTGTTCCTACTACTACTTCTACTACAGCTACAACAACAACTACTACTACTGCTACTACTGCTACTGTTACCACTGCTACTAATACTTCTACGAATACTGCCACTACTACTCCTAATACTACTACTACCGCTTCTGCTTCTACTACTACTACTACTACTACTACTACTACTACTACTACTACTACTACGACTACTACTACTACTACCTCTACTTCTACTCCGTATTCTACTACTAGAACTACTACTTCTACTGCTACTACTACTACTACTACTTCTAATACTGCCACTACTACTCCTAATACTACTACTACTACCGCTACTACTTCTACTACTACCACTCCTACTACTACTACTACTACTACTACTACTACTACTACTACTACTACTACCACCTCTACTACTACTACTACTACTACTACTACTACTACTACTGCTTCTACTACTTCTTCGAATACTACCACTGACTTGACCACGACTTCATTACTAACTTTTTTGGTATAGTAACGCTGACTGAAATACTGCTAGTACCATCAACGTCCATGACTGTGCAACTGTTATCAATGCGCTTAATTCGGACATCCGAATGTTACTTCCAATTGCGTACATAGATACGTAGTGGGGCAGCCACCTCTGCAACGAATAATACTAATAAAAATTGCGGTGAGTGATTTTATCACCAATAGCACAAGCAATACCCCGAAAGACACGACGCACGCGCATGCAAAGGGAAAAGCACCAGACGGCAGTATTTTAAACAGACATGCCATCTGAAAGTAATCAGTAGGCCTTTATTTTTAATGTCGCAACAGTAAGATTCGCCGTGAATCTTACTGTTGCGACACTGGTATCCGTCTTTGTGAATTATGAGACACCGAATGCCGTCAGAAAAGCTTTAACACACTTTTAAGTAGGCTTAGGTCAAGTTTCACTTTATTCTTTCGAATGGTTTGCGTTGACCGTAAAACGCTTTCTGTTACTATATTTTGTTTCTGATCAAACAGAACACCTGCCGCGGTCGCATTACATCTTCCAACTGACCTAATAGTCGTCTCTAGTTTTATCGTTCTACTAAATTCTGATGAACTGCCTATTGGACTCTCAACACTCAAACCGATGAAAGATCTGATCACGTTCATGCTGATAGTGTTCACTTCTAGTCTGCTCTGTTTTTTGCTGCAAAAGCCAGCATCTGCCTCTTTGGAAGTCCCCTAATTAACGCATTGGGTTGATTTTCGAGTAGATGATGTGTGTGTTTTCCTTTGGTTGGAAACTGTTGGAAGCGTTCGTTAGTTTTTGCCGACCACCTGGCCGCCGCCCTCCAATGGCTTATACCTATGCAAACATCCTCCGTAAACCCTGCCTTTGTGGACCGTGCTGAGGTATATGGTATAAGTGCACCACCGTGATTCTGCGTGGATTTTTACCCTAACACTGTCGGGTTCGGATTTCGCTCTGTAAATTTTCTTACCTGTCCCCTGAACATTCGCACAATACGGTAACCAATGATGCTTTTACTTTCTTTCGAGTGCGCTTTTTCATTTTTCAAATTATTTCCAAACATGTGGTATAATCGTCTAGGGCTTGAACTTGTGCTTTATCAACGCTGTTATTATCTCTGCGAGACGCTCCAGGTTCCCTTCTAACCTTCTAACTGGCATGTCAAGATCAAAATAACCATCGCATTGGGCATGCAGAGTTCATCGGCCTCCTTCGTGTTCAATTTTGAAGCAGGTCGGGAAGACCACGTAGGCAAAATAAAACAGGCCCTGGCAAGACTGACCAGAGCGGTAATGAATAACAGACGTTTATTTGTTCGGGAGAAGAAGCTAGAAAAATACATCGCAATAGCTGGACTCTATAGAGCCGAGGATCAGTAAAGCTGAGATGTGCAAGTTCCAGTGTTCTAAACTAATTAAATTTTCAGAGCGGAATTGAAGACGGATGAACCGAAATCAAGTCGCTGTAGCCATTGTGCAATTTATCTAAAGAAATCACGTATAGAAAACTGCAGATGCCTGTTTCTTTGCCAATGTTATGCAGGCCGACTGACCTACTTCCCACATGACCTGACATATTTCACAATTAAGTGTCCGCAGGATAGTTTACACTCAGTCATTGAAGGCTGGCAAATCAAGAGTTGGTCAACGGAACATTCAGGAAGAGGATGCGTATGCATGAAGGTCACGGAGTCTTTGTCGGTCATAGTTACCATAAGTGACGACATTGCCCACACAAAGTTCAAGACGTGAAAGTTGGTGCGCTCACGTATCCTGTTGTTTATCAGATATTTGGGCGCTCGTTCGCAGCTTTTCTTTTCGAAGAAAGCCGACAATTGGGAAACTCATTATAAACGTGTTTTGAACTTCCAATCATCGAGGTGGTGTCCACAAAAATTGTTTGAATTATTAGATTTTAAAGCGCTCATTTAGGTGGTCGAGCATTTGTGTCGACGCCATGTCCTACTCTGATTTAGGACATAAGTTGGAACAGGATTTCAAGTATAATAACAATGTCGAGCAGGCAGATGTCTATATACGCATGGGTGGGTATCCGCAATACCGTTTAACCTGTCTAGGTTTCCTTCGCAAACTGTACTCGATCTTGGCTGTGCAGCTTCTTGTCACAGTTACTACGGGGGCGATCATGTTTCCCTTTAGGAGCGAGATAGCTGCCATCCTTTTGCAAAAGTATCAAACTCCACTTATTCGTTCACCTGTAGTTCATTTGCACCAATATGCCTTGTATTGGCCTCCTTCGCATTGCTAATCGCGATGTACGCAAAACGTTACGAAAGCCCAGCCAATCTTATTTTATTATTTAGCTTCGTAAGTCTTCTGCTTCTTATATTAATTCCTGCATTTCAGACAGTCGTAGAGGCTTTGATTGTGGGTATGGTAGGTAAGTACTATTGATTTCTGTCATTTCAGTTCTACCGTACCAAAATTGACACTCTCCCCTTCCAGCTTGGGTGCCGTGGAAGAACCCTCTCATTTCCTGTGTTCCTATTTGTGACAGCTATATGTACTTGGTTTCCGTCATACATGAGAGAATGAGCGCCTTGGTAAGGTGGTTAATCAGACATACTTACGTTATGTATGGGCAGGGTTAAATCCATCTTTTAGTAGACGTGGATATTCGGCAGGTGACGTTCTTTTAAAATGATTTAATGCGCTGTGGCGTGTAAGTAGATCCAAACTAAGTCCGAACCTCCGCGTGTATTCTATTCACGCTCTCACCGTTACGCCACAGTCCATCCCAGCCATGCTCGTTAATGAGCAGCAATTATTCCTCCCCCTTACCTCAATCTTTAACCGCAAAAGCCCTAACGTATTCCGCATGACATTTTAAACTTATTTATTTATTATTTCGGTTAAGTCGTTCACTTCGACTCGTCAGTCGTTCTCCAAGCTCTTGTGATCACGTCGGCCGTTGTTTGCGGTTTAACGGCCTATACAATGCAGTCAAAAAGGGATTTCTCGTCATGGGGCGGTTTACTGGGCTCCTTGCTGCTGGCCTTAGTCGTTGGCGGTCTGACTAATGTAAGTTTGCATTTTTGTCGTCCTCTTTATCGTGACAAAAGACCGCTCGGGCGGAAATCCTTTTCTATTTCTACTGTACAATTATCTTCGGTGTCTTTTCTGACAAGGGGATGTAGTATCGATAGTTATGCTTGTCAGGTCTGTGCTCCGGCCATTGTAAATTGTGCTTTTTGAACCTTTTTGCCTGTTACGACCCACTAACACGTAAGGGATGCTAAAAGCGTTTAATTCCGTATCTCGCAATCGATCTTGATTGAACAAACTCGTTCCCTACGCTGCCGAAGTAGGCTACTGCCCACAGGCCTTATGCATTGTCCGATGTGGCATTTACTGGTAGTTGCCAATATACTCACAAAAGTTCTAAACATGAATGCACGGACACAATGAGTTTCGGTATTTTTGACACCGAATGCGACCATTTAGTATGCAAGATTTTGTTTTGTTGCGGGCAAAATAGGAAGTACATAAGTGTAAAAATGTGCCTGGAATTCAATGGGAGTAATTTTGCAACGAGTTTGTGCGTTGTACCTGTTTGCCAGGCAATTACACTTCCGACTAGCATAATGTGTCTTTGATTCACAACCCTAACTTCACCTCGGTAACTTGCCAGCGTCGTGACTCGCAATGATAGCAAATTGTTCCACGCGTCCAGACTGACCATCAAATAAATAATTCCAATATTCCTGGCCTCGGGAATGTGTTTTCTTGAGCCTATGGCACTTGCGTTCACAAGACTCGCCGCTCGTTTTGGACCGATTAAGTACACGTCTACTAAATTACAGCTTTGTCACGTACTTTCTGATCGCTTTCTTTCTGTTCTTATAATAAGCGGGAGAGTGCACTGTAGTGCTTTCTTCGCACTTTGACCGTCCTTCTGCTTGTTCTCCATTTAAATCAGCGCCTTTCTCTTCTCAACTGAAGTTCGAGCATGCCTTTGGGCACAGGACTGATTTTAAATTCTTGACCCACGCAGCGGACACCGTAACGGCATCTTAATTTTTATTGTGTCGGTTGCGATTGGTGATTATTTAGTCGGTTTTGGAACCGGGAATATTCAGGAGGACATGGTGCGCGTAAGCTCCCCAGTGTTGCCAGATCCAAAGTTTGTAATCTAATGCGTAAAGTGATGGTAGCGCGTGAAGTATTATCAATTTTCATAACGCGCAGCTTTGGCTTGCGAGCTTTTTACAGGTCACCAATTCGCCAGATCAGTTATCTGTCATCCCTTACGATATTGCCTCTTCGTGGTCTACGACTGCTTATTCATTTTACTAAGGAACCCATCTGTTTCCCTTCAAGTCTGTTGAAAATCGTTGCACTCTGTCATCCACATACTCATTGGGCTGTTTGCATTCAGGCTGACAGTGTTTCCTGATTTTCCTAGTAGATTTCGCTCCAGCTCATAACCGACTCTACTGACTGCCGGAATGTGCGGCGACTAGCTTGCCAGCTTATTAGCATCTTTTGTTCAGAAGCGGTTCCTCGAATTTGCTGGTTTTTCTGATGTCATTGACTCAAAGAGTGGTGTTTATGACGCAGACACAATAACTGATTCTAAATAGCTGTTTCGTCCTCTGTCAGGTATTGCGCTAGCATAAACCGTAGTCAATTTCCTAGTCCGTGCCTCCGCCACATCAGACCTCGAGAAAAAAGACGAAATGTAGAGAATTCATTTCTTTCGGGGCTAAGTTATTAACAATCGCTTTTGAATTGTAGGCAATAGTGATGATAGTGAACGCGTGCATCTATGAACACCACAATTCCAACATTTGGCCGCCCATCTCTATCTAACTACCGGTTCGGTGAGGATTGCGCCACAATTTGTGATTGTAATAGTTGGTATCGCCGTTATCGTTTGTGTGCCCAGCGTTTGGTTAACCGCCTACTACAGACTACCGACAAGAGTGGCTTTCGAAAAGCACGGAGAAACTTGGGTGGTTGTAGTATTCGAAGATGTATATTATACCGTTTTTGCCCTGACAAGGGTTTAGGACGTGACCGGGGGTCTATTTAGGCAATGGTATTCGAAGAATTGAAGTCCATAAAGCTTTGTATTTTCGGTGATTTTTTGCCTGCGATTTTACAGGAGGCCGACTTCGGTCAGCTCGTGCGAATAACTCGGGAATTCAGTCCACATTTACGATTCGCAGCCGTTCAAGGCCTTCGACACTGACGGCTACGGCGTCGCCTTAGCTACGGAAGGAAATGGCAGTGCCTCCTGAAGACTATCATGTCAACGAAACAACGAGACCCTTTGACTCTTACGCGTGGTCATCTCGGCCAACGCAATTCCCACGTGGACTTTGCTATCCCGGATTGTGGTCGACCGCGACCTAGTCCCTCCTGCTCAGCGTTTAGAGCGTTAACCAAGTGGCTAGCTGTACTCGGATTCAAATCCCGGATCGAGATTAGGCATAGCTAGGTGACAACAAATGCTGAACCGCCCATTTTTGTCCGTAATACCTCTCGGTGAGCTGTAATACTGTGGAGTTGGATGCCCATTTTCGTCGAGAGGTTTTCAAGCGTTGGCTACGGTGGGTCATATGTAACAACACCAGTCAGAGATCAACTAGTGGAACGCATACTCAACATATTCGCGACGTTCACGTCGACGTGGAAAACATTTAGTCTGAAGCTTCATTTCTTCGGGTCCTGAAAAATCGTATGAGAATAATGTTAAGGGAACGATTATTATCGTCAGGTGTACCTTGGAGAAACCGAATTTCCTCGAGAGATGTTTCTAATTACGAAAAATCGTGCAGACGACGACACGCAGTGTGCTGCGGGGGGCAAACGTAAGTCGAGATCTCTTGGTCACTGTCTAATCCCTCTTCTAAGAGGAGGGAAGCCACTACTGAAAATCTGTCACTTTAAACGTTTTTAATACAATCTTCCCTATCGAGCGCCTCCTCACCACCAATCGTAGTTACCACTGCGTACTTCTACTTCATTGCTTTCTGTCGATTAGCTGCCATTGTGCGGGCTCCTGTACTACCAATCTTCTGTTGCTATTTTATCTGCAGCTGTTCTTCGGCTCACCTGCTCTACACCTGATTCTCTCAATTAGTGGGGCGGCCCTCTTCGCTTGCCTGCTGGTTTTTGACACCCACTTGATCATGAAGCGTTTCTCTGCGGAGGAGTACATAGCTGCTTCGATAACACTCTACTTGGACATTATAAACCTCTTCCTCTACATCCTTCGTATCCTCCAGGCGGCCGAAAACCAGTAGACCGCTGTCTCGCCCAACACTGACCTCTATTTTCCCTCTCCCAGCTTTCTGACCGTTACTTTCTCGGCCATCCTCCTCTCATTCAGGGTGCCTGACCTCCGATCACTTCCTTTGGGGTCCCGTCCCTGCAAGAACTCTTTTTCTCAGGCTGTGTTGTTTCTGTTTTATTACTTTGCAAAAACGGTAGCAGTCGCTGAAGGCGGCTGTGTGACCATTGTTCACTTATAAGCCGTTTATATGGTAGTTTGGTACAATTCGTGGCTGAATACCCTCTGTCTCAGTGAACTGGGGCCGGGGGCCAATCGCTAAACCATTAGAGCACTGACTCAGATCGCTGGTCTTTCCGCCAACGGCTTAGTGTGTGTCCTTTGACAACTGAAAGTAGCCTAAAACGGGTTATTCTAGTCTTTCCTGCTTTTGATGATAATTCCCGATTATTGGTCGGCCAGCTCCACGCGGAAAGACAGAACTCCGCGTAGAAGCAATCGGTCTTTGACATGCAGCCATAAGTGGTACGGCGTCGGTTGTCTTCTGACTCTCGATTCCACAGACCTTGAGTGCATATAAAGGCGATACTTCCTTTCTCCGAGCAGTGGAAAGTTTTTCTCCAGAGAACAGGCTGAACCGGCAGGTGAATATACTGCTATTAAGGACTTTTTCGAGTGTAAGGGTGAGGAGTTACTTTTAGTGTTTTGTTGAAATGCTACACATACCGCCAAGGAACTGTCATGCTGAGGTAGGACTGGTCCACATTGGCTGTCTTCATTTGACGCCCTGAGTAGTAATAAAGACACGCCGCATGGTCGGGACGCTGTCCAGCAGACATGTCACGATGTCGGGGTGTAACATTTTGCCGGGGAGTCATTTAAGCTAAAAGTAGTCCCTGTTGTTATTCTAGCGGTCCTGCAAATCTAAGACTCGTGAGAAACGTGTCATGGCAAAGTACCACGCCGTGAGGTAGTCGGCTGTTCGCGTTCAGGGAGTCTTCGCCCATATATGGTTCAATAAAACCAATCCAGTCGCTAGAGTTTCCTGGACGCAGGTGGGACCGCGTGAGGTCTCCCACGATTTAAGTAGAATGGAAGATCAAAGCTGGAACTCAAGGGGAGCGAGTAGTCTGGCCTCCACCCTGGGTCTGTGGTGGCACATCCGCTGGGCCGCACACGGCTTTCTCAGACCACCATTCGAGTACGCCAGTTTGCACTTCGCATCTTGGAAGACATCGTCTAATTCTTTGCTCGGGGAGTTGCTGACCGGCGGCCGCTTTCTCTCCTTCACTGAGAGCAAATCCCGGTCAGCTGGTCGCCAAACATCTGAACCAAATGCGTCATTCGAGCCGTGGATCTGCGTCCAGTCACATGTCAGTGCTTTCCACCCATTTCATCCTGATTACGGGACGGAATGCTGATAATTCCGCGTTGTCATTCAGTTTTGGGTGACAGGCCTCTCAGGCGATGCTATGGTAACAGATAACCCATGACCGAAAGATGTTGCGGTCTGTAAACTGCCAGAACTCCGCTGGGGGTCGTCCGCAGTTTCTGTGCTGGTCACGCCTCAACTGGTGATGCCTTTAGATTGCACACTGAAGCGGCGGAAGCCCGGAAGTTTTGCATGTAGTCTATCGCGATGCGCTTCGACAGGCGAATTGAGTCTTCGCAGAGCCTCGTCCTTTTGTCACATTGCTGTTGCCGACGGAATTCAGCAGCCTCTGGGTGTTCGTAAATTTTGGAAAGAAGCATACTTGTGAGCATTTTGGTTCTTAACGTTTCCATCCATTTTAAATCGAGTGGCGGCAAAAACTCGGCACACACGGTAGTAGACCACAGGTCAAGTCTAGGGGTATCGCTGTCTCGATATTTGGTTGATGGAAGCGTGCTACTGTACAATTTTCATCAAAGGATGCCTGCGGACCGACCGGAGAACACCGAACACGAATCTTGCGCCGAAATCACAATAAGTCACGCTCTCCAAAAAGAACATCTGCGCGACAGCAGGACGGATCGTGTCTGATCTGAGTGTGATCGTCGTCCATCAATCACACCACACAACATTGTCGATAGCTTAAGCAGTAGGCGTTGTCAAATGACTATAATCGCGATCGGACAACAATCAGTGCTTCCTGCGTGCTGTGGTCGTTGGGGTTATGCTACTACAACGGGCCACCCGGAAGATGTGCTGGACCAAAATGGGGGTCAGATTGGCGTACGACACATGTTCACCAAACTGCGCAGTCTGCGCATCCCACAAAAATGCCATTAATGGGGAACTTTGTGACATGTATGCGCAGGCCTTACGTCGGGCCAGCCATTTGCGTCCAATCTCCATGTCAGACGACGAGCCGGCTCGGACAGCGGGCTGGTGCACGAGAGAGGGGAGAGTGGGAGGTGTAGCAGTCAAGGATGTGAAATCAACTTAAACCATGCACAATAAGTTCGTTTCGTCCAATGTCAGCAGTCAGGAGGCTGTGAGGAATAGTTTATTCTGTGCAAAGGGCAGGTTGCCGTAAGTTAGCTGTTTGCTTGCAACAGAGATAAGCGTCCGTTCACGGAGAGCATCAGTCGAGGTGTGTAGCTTACGCGGGGATGAATGTCTGTGTCAGTAGGTGGGGGTGGCTGGCTGAATGCTCGTCATGAGATTGGACGGGTGAGGAGGACGCATAATCACGCGGGCTCACGGGTATCAAGCCAGGTCGTCCGACGCGCGTGAGGTGATAATAGTTTGTGAGGGCTGCCAGAAGTCACTGCAGCTGGACAGGAGGTCTCCTAGTTCTGGCCGGGGTGGGGGTGGTCGTGTGTCAACAGCTGTCGCGGCCATCGTCCGACAAAACGGAACCGGAGAAAAAGGGGGACAGGAGCGGCTGCTACAGACGAACGCTGCTGAATTCACTCCCACGGCACCTCAACGTAATCCTCACCACAGAGAATTGGACGTGCTTGTATCTATCTCGACGTGCTAAGAACCCTTCTATGGAAGACTGCCAGCTGACAGTGTATCTCGACTCCCTCAAGAAGGAGTGACAACCTGCAATGGCTTCTTAATGTGGGCCGGTTGGCACCCCCACGCAGCTGTGATCTGAGTCGTCGCCTTGCCTCTACGGAAAGCCTGATGGGGTCGCGTCTTGTGTGGCACGCGTAGACTGTCTGTCCAAATTTCTGGGCCAGTGCGCCTGATTCCGCCTCCTGTCATACTAACTCCGTGTTGCCACCGGGCCTAGGCAGGTGGGGTAGAAGAGAGGGCGGTAGACGCCGTGCGAGTCGATCGTCATTATAAACTAATTAACGTTCAAGACGCCGTCTTGCGCCCACAATGGTGTGGGGCGCACTGTGGACGTCGTCGTTCGCTACAGCGGAACTGAAGACAACTGTGGTTTGTCGCGCCAAATATCCCAGTATAGAGGTGAACTGCTGTGGCTTGCTTGTGTACCGTGAAACATCCAACTCGGGGCTGTTTCTGGCCGGATTAGTCTCGTCAATGGTCCAGTTGGAGAAGGGCCTCGACTAGTCCGCCTCCTAATAAAGTCTGGCGCAAGCTTTCGTGCCCTGGACGAAATATTTGGATCGTCAATAACTCAATTATTTCCCTCCAGGCTGCATTCCTAGACTATCGAGCTCGCTTACAGTTTTCCAGAAGCCTGACGGACGGCAACTCTTTCCTGTAATCATTCGTTCACTCCCCCACCGCCGATTCCGTTTTTCCCTCACTGTAGTTAAGTTCACCCTTGAGTAATGTCATTATCCACTCCCCCACTGTCTGATTTTCGATTATTATTCCCTTCTGCCATTCCAGACTTATTATCATGTTGAGTGATACCTGCACTGACGGACATCTACACATAACACGGTCCAGTAGCGCGCACGCGACCGTGTCGTCACGGCAGATGCGAGACACGCTGGCCAAACAGCACGAGCCAATCAGAAGTGCGCTAGCCGCGAGCCATTTCAGTTACTAGTCTAGGTAGTCACGCGTACGCACTCGAGTGCCTCGGCCAATAGTCCACAAGGTCTTCTTTCATTGGTTAACCACTGCAGCGACCTCTGCGCTGTCAAAGTAACAGCCTAGCGACATCGATTTTCGCGATGATGGGCAGATTGCTCGTGCCCGAAATTCCGCCTGTCAGACGGTCTAGTTTGTTCCCAGCAGCTATGTTTGGTCGCAACAAGGGGACTCTCTTCACTGCAGTTGTTGTGGGAACTGTCCTGATCATATTTTTCGCCCATAAGTCAAAATGGCCGGATTATGATGCTTTATTCCTCCTTACCTCGTCATGTCCCGAGGCTCGTTTGCCGCAGGCTTGCCGCTTTGCAGGGCTCATGACCGTGCACCCGGATTTTCCTCTTTGGGGCGTGAAGTACAGTCGCATCATGACGAAGACTCCGTTGGACTATGCCAACAAGAATGAAACTACCAGCTCAATGAGTAATGTGAAGAGCCATAACTTCGCCTGTTCATCTCACTCTGCCTTCCTGGTCGTCTATGCAACCCATGAACGCAACGACACACCGAACTCCACCAAAGGCAACTTTCTGGTAGGCATTCCTTCTTCACACTTTTAAACCATTAACGGTTACACGTTTTAACTACAGCCAGTCATTAGCCTACAGCTTGTCTAGTGTGATGGGGAATACTGGATGGGACCTGGGGTATGACGTCTACCAACAAACCTTGATCTCAGGACGGAAAGCGACGTTTTTATACCCTGAGCGTTACCTTCTACAGTCATATCAGGCCGTCGAATAGCAGCCAGTGATTAAGAGGTACTGCCGAAAAAGACAGGGGAGGCTGAAATAGTCATATTTGACTAACTCCGGACCAACTGGGCTCGCGTTCCAACTACGGATTTTGCGACCTAAGCCTGGACTACGCTCAGCTAGTGACTGCAGTTAGACCAAAAATTGCTTTCTCAGTTCTTGCTTGTTGTTATGGCCCATGGTCCTCATTCCTATAACTGCACCTGCCGGCACTTGCCAAATGGTCTGGAGAAAACCTTTTTACGCACTCACTTCTTTTGCCTTTTCGAACTGCGAATCTTGAGTACATTAAATGCCTTTAAGATTGGCTGGATCGTAAGCCCTCTAGTAGCTCCCCACCTTTTCAGTTTTCTCAATAACATTAAAGGTAGCAACCTCGATTGTTTACTAACATTTCAGGGCAATAGTTTAAAGCTTCTCATCAGTGAGGCTGTAAAGAGGAATTGTTGGCTTCCCAGCATCCAAATGGCTAACAATAGGAAGCAGAGTCCCGCAGGGTTCGATACTACATTCTCTTCACCTCCTCATCTAAATATACGACTGCACTGATAATAATGGCTGCGATGTCGACGTGCTTGCTGGTGGTAGAAAAGTCTGGACAACGATCATCAGAACTGCACCAATTGGATTCCACGCAAAAGAAGCGGATACGTAAAATGACCTAGCTACCTAGACAGCTTTGAATTTGATGCCCTCCGAACACCGTAAAGAAGCTGCCCAAAAGACAACGAACATCATGGACTGAATTAAGTGAGCTTGCGTAGTCTCGTCTCCCGAACTATTTGCGCGCATATCTGGTACGTTCGCTAGGCCGTATTTTGAATATGGAAAACCAGCGTGGATTCGGTAGGCTAAGAAAGACGGTGACGTCATCGAGCAGGTGCAGCTACGGACAACGAAACTGGTGGGCGGTTTCAAAACTTCGTTTTATTCAGAAAGACTGACCAAGTCCTGTTTGGTTCTTCTATCCTATAGACAGTTGGGGTGCAACCCGTTTTGGATATTCAGCTAGATCGCAGTTGGTAGCCAGGCCCCGCATTACAGGTGGCTGGGGGATTTGTTTAGGGTTCCGTTAGTATTAACGGTTGACGTTTAAGGTTGAGGTTATGGTTAGGGTTAAGGTCGCCGTCCGCTTCCCCATTCCTGGCTACCAACTGCGATCTAGCCCGGGATCGAGTGAGATCCGAACTACAACAGTGAGAGTCAAACACTTATTTGACAATAACATTATGTTGTTCAGATAATGACGGTTGCCAACTTTATCGTGAAGTGGACATGATGAAAAAATTCCGCGCGTATAAAACAAGCCACTGCCACATTTTCAGACTAAAGATCATGTGGAGAAATTTTCGCGAGAAAATCTGCCAGCACCTGGTCAATGTCTTTCCGTCAAACTTTTTTCAAATTAATCTAAATATCGCAAGTGGCGACCACGTTGACGCCTGGGGAAGAGATTCACATCTAGCTGAAAACTGGTGTTGTCTGTTGGATAGAAAGACTTGGGGCACCAATTACTAAATACCGGTCAGCAGATTACTCAGATGACTTAGTGGTCACAATGTGACTGCGATTACGGTAATTAGGACTAGTTAGTTAGGGATTATTATTTACTGCTAACCACACAAGAACAACGCTGGGTCGGGCTATGTGACAATGAGCTTAGGTCAGCCAAAAATGGGACTCCATGCTCCAGGCTGTTGAAAATTCATTGTCCGCACGGTAGCATGTCCACGCAGAGCTTTGCCCGTCATCGAAAGTCGCAGGGGGGGGGGAGGGATGGTGCAATTAGGTGCATAGTGAAGTCATGTATTAGGAGATACGGGGATCTATGGAAGAAATGATCTGTCCAATCTCCGTCATAATGCTACCATAGAATACGATACCGAACGAAAAGGTGTCGCCGGTGACCAAGCAAATACTTTGGCGACAGTATCCCGTCAAACGTCGGGCACACTGTAAAGATATATACGGCAAACGTCCATAATCAATCGGTCTTTTATTCGATAAGATTGACTGCATGTTTGTTTAAGCACATAGAGACGACCAATCTCTTCCAGCGAGCGCTTTTTTCTCCCTAAAACAATCAAACGCGACGGCAGAGTGCTTAGTTTTAGTTACATACCAGATGGTCCGTAGCGCTGCGAGGTTCCGTCGAAAGATTTGTACGCATGCACGTATTTGAGAGTTGCGGGCGGAGCCCTTGATGTACAGATGAGATTGTATACAGCAAACATGAAATATGGTCGTTTGGAATGTACACGGAAAAATTTTACGACAAACGCTTAGCGATACGATACATGACGAATAAGATCTGAAGTGAAGTTTATCGGTGGTCGTAGGTGATCCTGCAGCAAGAGGCGTTGTCTATCAAAAACTAAGCTGTCCAATTGCCTTATGAGCGCAGTTATGGTAGCAGAATCTTGAGAATGTGTTTCATGACCGAACTACCCGCTGGCCGAAAAAAAACCTCTCTACTTCCCTCTCTCCCACCCCAACTCCACCGTCCTTAACGCGCTGACTCCGTCGTGCGGGCGGCGTGGGAACATGGAGTCCGATTAACCCTGCTCCCGAGACGCATTTATATCCTGTCGACAACTAGACTGATCATTACCCATGTAAGTGTACCGGCCTGATGCTGAATTACCGAAAACATATGTTCGCCAACTAACTCTTCAATCGTAATATGGGAATCTTCGCAGAACCGAAAGAAAACTCTCGCTGGTCAGATGCGTACACTCAAGTTTGGATGATCGCGCAAGTGGCTCGTATTTGTAAACTGGAAAACTTCAGGCTTAGACGAAAGGTTTTCTCCCCAGATGATAAGAGGCTAGATCGCAGTTGGTAGCCAGGCCCCGTATTACAGGTGGCTGGGGGATTTGTTTACTGAGGCTATTTTGTGGGGTTCCATAATCACATCTGACCCATTTGGCTTCCGTTTTACGCTTGAGGTTAGGATTGGGGTACCGGCTAATGGGTTTCGTTTTTCGCGTTAGGGTTATGCGTTTAAGGTTAGGGTTTGAGCGTACGAATACGTTTCAGTATTACGGTTAGGTTTTCCAGTTACGGCTATGTCTAAGGGCTACGGTTACGTTTACGATTTCAGTTAGAGTTAGGGCTAGGGTTGCCGTTAGGATTAACGGTTGACGTTTAAGGTTGAGGTTAGGGTTAGGGTTAAGGTGGCCGTCCGCTTCCCCATTCCTGGCTACCAACTGCGATCTGGTCCGATCCCGTTCTGCCCGTCCGCCAGCTTGCTACTGACGACAACGAAAGTTGCGTCTCGTCTTTTACACTCTTAGTGAGCTACTTATGTATTATATGTGGTATGTGTCCTATGACACAGCGTTCGTTGTCGCCAGTAGCAAGCTGGCGGGCGGACAGAATGGGATCGACTGAGACCCTAACCACAACAGTGAGAGTCACACGCCTACTTGACATGCTTACAGTAGGTGAGCTAACCCATAAAATGTCCACCGAAATTCCGAAATGCGTTTTCGTTCCAAAAAGGCTACTTAAATAGGGTTGTAAAACTTATTATCTTGTAGCATAATTCTACAATAATCCTGTTAGCTCAGTATGTCGGCTTTCGAACCAATTTCTTTCCGACCGCATGAAAAAACCACACTTTGCAAAAAATGACTACTTTAGTAGCATGCATTTTTCTCACCGATTTTCAGTGCCCTTAAAAATGCAATTATATTTCGTGGTAATCATGCACAAAAATATTGATTCTTCTACTTATTCGGTAGAAACTGTCGTCTTCCAATTTGTTACGCGAAAATAGGGTATAATTCGGTCTTAAAAAGTTTATAATTGTGAGATTTTTTAATACCGTGAAATGACCGTTCATAAAACATCGTGTCTCTGCATTTCCTAATGCAGCTTGTGAATTTTACAATTTGACTCAAATCCACTACTAAATTTTATGAACGCCATATGATCTCCTCTTAATACCGTAGAGAAATGTACGGTTTTCCGTGCGAGGAAAATATACGGCCTGTAGTTTGGAAACCCTTAAAGCAAGTGTAAAGACAGGTGGGGTTCAACATTATTCGGGAATTGGAAAACTTTTTTAAAACCGAGTTATACCCTTTCTTCGAGTATAAAATTGAAAGAAGACGTCATTTTCTACCGGGTGAATAAAATAATTAATATTTTTATGCATGATTACCATGAAATATAGTTGCATTTTTGAGGGCAGTGGAAATCAATGATCGAATGCATGCTACTTAAGTAGTCATTTTTTTACAAAGTGTGGTTTTTGCATGCGGTCGGAAAGAAATTGGTTCGAAAGCCGGCATCCTGAGCTAACTGGATTATTGTAGAATTATGCTACAAGATAATAAGTTTTACAACCCCACTTAAGTTGCCTTTTCCGAACGAAAACGCATTTCGGAATTTCGGTTGACATTTCATGAGTTAGCCCACCTACTGTACATTCCGCACTTCATAAGGCCTATGACGTCCTGATGATCGGTAACGATCGTGAAACAGCTGTCTGCGTCTGGTGAGCTGCTTATGCATTATATTGTTATCAAAAACTACCTCTAAACAATATATCCGGCCTCTGCGTGTGCATGCGGACATCTAGTGACTGCTTAGGAAAATCAGTTTTCGCAGTCGGCCTACTGCATGAGAATCGGGGGATTTTGTACATTTCTGTAGGCTGGGCGGGTAACCTAGCCCGTATGATCACTCCAACCAACCCTGACGGCATAGTCGCAATGGTTGTGTATCCATCGCTGGGCTCTCTCATCCTTCCAAATAATGCTCATTAAAACCGCGTTGGTCCAGAATTTGGCTAGAAGCAGCGGCGACAAAGACACGACAGTGTGGAATGCTCATTTCTGGTTTCTTTGTTGCCCTTAGCACAAATTTGAACCCGACGTAGGTCTCTTTAGATACCGTCTGAGGAGGCGCTCTACTGAGTTGTCTGCAGTTCTGGTGTCTGGCCCTAGCAATGTCAAACAAAAGCACATGCCTCGCGGCTGGCGCACCCCGGCAATTATTCGTCGTTGCATTGAGCACTTTCAGCATGTTCAGAGAGTCGGACGCGTCAAGCGCCTCATGTCAGCTTCATGGCCTGTATAATCGGCCCCACCAGAGGGCCTTGGCCGGACAGTCATATAGCGTTCGTCTGTGAGGCTTTCTTGAGTCCAACAACTAAATCATAGAGGACCGGTTTGGCACGTGTAGCTGGGCAATGCTTACTCGTGTATTCTGCCTTTTATCTCTGTCAGCCACTTGTACTTGATACGGCTGAGATCATGCCTGATCTGGCCAGCCTCGCTGATGTCCGAACTGTACCTCTCGACGCGTGACGATCCGCGGCAGCAGATCTGGACAGCTCAACCCATTCCCTTCGCCAACGACGTAGACCGAATACCGAAGGTCCAAGAACCACCTCCATTTCTTGACGAACTGTGTCGAGCCAGGTTTTGAACTGGCCCCCTCTTCGACGCCTCCAATGGGGCAACGATGCCGGGTCGAGGGCAGTAACACTGGGCTCCTGAGGTGGACGACGAAGAACATGCCCGAACCACCTCAGTCGTATTTCTTGGATGGCCTGAGTTATCCTTGCGATGTTGTCGCAGCGAGCGCGGAATATCTCATTTGAGACGAAATCGGTTAACTTCACTCGAAGGATGATCCTCAAGCAGTGGTGGTCAAATACCTCCAGTTTTCGCTCATCCGCCACGCACAAAGCCCAGCATTCGCAACCGTAGAGAAGGACAGACCGAACAGATGCACGGTACACGCGAATCTTAGTGGCGATGGAGAGGTTACATCGATTCCATAGGCATTCCCGAAGGCTTGAAAAAACCCAGCGGGCAGCATCGATTCGGGAGACAATGTCGTTCTTACTCTGTCCATTAGGCAGCAGCCGCGCCCCGGGGTATTCAAAACTGCCCACTTCTTCAAGTTGACAGCCATCAATCCCCAGGGGTGCCTTCTCCTGGTCAGGGATGCAGCTTGAGAATACTTTGGTCTTCCCAGCCTTTATGGACAAACCGACTGATTTAACGACCTCGTTCACTCGTGACACCATAGACTGCAGATCACCAAAACTTGAAGCAAGTAAGGCGATATCATCGGCATAGTCGAGATCAGTCAGTCGATATCCGGGTGCAAATTCAACACCGTCACTGTCGCGTAGGGCCCTCCCGAGGATCCAGTCAATAGCGTAGTTGAACAGGATGAGTGACAGGATACAACCCTGTCGGACGCCAGACCGAATACCGAGCGGTTGGGAAAGATTGCTGCGGACCAGGACTCTCGTAGTAGTGGAGCGATAATAGGCCTTGATCATGGCGATGATTTTTGCCGGTTCACAATCTAGCGCCATTATCCGCCACGGGTATTCACGGTGAACGAAATCGAACGCGGAGGCAAAGTCAATGAAGCAGACGGCCGTCGGTTGTTGGTAGCTATGGCGAAATTCGAGAATGCGCCTCAGTGTAAATATCTGGTCTGCGCATCCACGTCCAGCACGAAATCCGGCTTTGTTGGGCCTCGTCCTTGAGTCACGCACAGCCTGGAATCGCCTGAGTAGGACAATAGCGAAGATCTTCGCAGCAACATCAATGAGACTTATGCCGCAGTGGTCCTCGCATCTCGTCTTATCTCCCTGCTTGAGGATAGGTACAAGGATGCCTAAGTCCCAGTCATCAGGAACAAACTCGTCTCTCCACGCTCGTTTAATAACCTCATGGAGCCAGGGCGCCAGAGTGTCGACGCAAGACTTGAAGATTTCAGCGGGTATACCGTCCTCTCCGAGTGCCTTATTGTTGCGCAACTAGGCCCAATCTCAGCATCGTTTGGTTGACCGGCTCGGAGAGAGAGAGCGCGCGCGCCAGGTAGGTGTTGGGCAATCTGTCTCCATGACACGTCAGCATATTCCCGATTTTGTTAAGTCTGACGCGCTCGAAACTATCACAACGTGCCAAACGCCGTGCCTTGGAAGGCTGCCAGCTTATGGGATAACTCGGTCCTCCTCTCAGGACGAAGAGTCAGGTTGTATTGGCTCCTTCTTGGCGTGCGCTGTATGGCACTCCCACCTACTCGGGATTCGAGCCGCCCTTTGTTGTTTTAGTGAAACCACGGTCCTTCATGTGCAGATCGGGCATGTGTATGGCACGTGCAGACGGGCTGGTTAACTTTGTCAGCCACTGCGCCTGACTCCGTCTCCGGTCGTCTTAAGTCTGTCATGCCACCAGGCCCAGGTGAACAAGGCAGGAGAGTATGTAGTGTCCAGGCGGTGAGAATATGTGCAGGTTGAGCGCTACCATCGCCCGGTCAGATCCCAAGTTGTAGGGAGAAGACGGAAGACACCAGAATGAGGGGGTTATCGTGCAGAGAACCCGGAGTTTTCCTCTCAGGCGGCGGTGGCCACTGACGAAACCAGAGCTGGTGTTGACTGCATTCGGTCATGCCTGAGAGTCACTGAGACAGTGATGGCAGCCGCTTTTGTAGGCTCGTGGGCCAAGCTCAAGTGGTGTCCAGTCTGTGTGTGTTGCATTTGCCGAGGGGTGGTGTCCCAGTGGCTTGGTTTGCTGGTTGCAGGGGGTGGGGTACGTTCAAGTGGCCGCATGCGCAGCTGCGGCTGCGCGGACGCTGGTATGCCCGAGCTGTCGGTCGTTTGACTTCAGGTCAGCGCGTCTGGAACGGCCCACTGCAAAAGGGTGAATGACCTTGAGACAGCGAGGTCTTGACCAATGACACCAGACCGGCCATGATGTCTGCACGCCACAAGCATGTGCTGTTGGTAATTACGAGCCAATCCTGCACAGGTTGACTTTAAAAACCCCTTCAATGCCCGAATAAGTTTAAACCTGACCGGAAATTGGAAAGGATATTGCCCTTCATCTAAGGGGCGCAAGTTATTGGCGTTTGTTTTTGACAGTCGAGGCTCTCCAGACTACAGTAAAAAAAGGTGAGGGTGAGAAGGACGGCTCCAGCACCGGGAATACTAGTTTACTGTGTTGAGCCTTGAATTGTCCATTTAGTCCGTAGGCATCATTAGTCAGAAAGTGATAAAACTGTTATGATGAGGGAAATTAAGTGGCCATTTCTGCATCCTCTACTGTTGCTGGGGCTGCTTTTTTCTTTAGTTTGGCTGAGTAGCGCTTGGTAGGAGGGATGGCGTTCCCTGCCTGATTTCTACATCTCCGTCATCTTGCACAGTGTCTTGCTGCCGACTGTTCTGTCTGTGAACTTGACGGTAAAATCGGAGGTATCGATTTTGTTGTGGGTTGTGAGTGTCTAGGCGAGCTACGTGGTCTCCTTACAAAATGACTATTTAGTGTCCTTGTAACAACCTTACCACCGGTTTCCGGCCCATTTTACCCATACAACTGCAGGACCAGTTTGTGCAAGGAATGCGGCAGACAACATCCGACTGCTCATCCAGATTCGGTCGGTCGTCGGAACACAGCAGGTCGTTGTGCAACATCAACTGTTCTGTAGGACACATTGGCTGACGTCACAGAGAAATGAACCTGCATCCTCTGACGTTAAGGGCCGCGCGAACAAGCCGCTGCCTATCTGATTTTTTGTCCCCAAAACGGGCCACGCCGTAGATGCGCCGGACCAACACAGGCGGCTAGACCGGAGTCAGGCAGGCGTTATCGGGAAGGCGCGCCCATGACAAATGCCAACATTCGGGCGCATGGCGGCAGGCCCAGTTGCAAGCTTATGTCGGGCCAATTTGGATCCACGCCGCCTCCCTCCCCCCATTTTCTTGATATGCAAAATCTTGGTCAGTGTCCGTTGTAAACCATGGGCTGTGGTGGCACGTCCGGGTGCGGTTTTCGCCGTGCCAGCCACCTTCTTGACTGTCACGACACCAGGCCCGGGTGGGGGAGGAGGAGAGAGTGCGGTAGATGCAGCGCAAGGCTACTACGACTATAGAAGGAATCATGTGCAAGTCATCGTCCCTGGTCTCACCGTGCTGTGGGGCACACAGTGAAACATCGATCACGACAGTCGAACTGCGGGATTTTTCGTCGATCAGAATGTGCAAACTGCTACTGTTATCTGCATTCCCTCTTAAATCTTTTTTTGTAGCTGAAGCATGAACCAACTGGACTAATTGGTCTTCCTGGTGGGGAGATCGCCTCAGGGGAAACAATCTCCGACGGCTTGACTCGTCTGCTTTCTGCTGAACTCAACGTCAAGCAAGCTAAATTGCCTGCACGCCAGCATCTAGGCAGCTATATGAACGCCCAAGAGGACAAGTGTGTCCATCTTTTTGCCTCAAAGGTATGTCACGTTTGCACCTCATATGCACCTCATTTATTCACCACAGCATAAACGGTACGAGGGTTGCATTTCATACCACAAGAGAGACAGAGAGAGTGACAAATTCTCATGACGCATCCTGAACGCTGCGCCCAGCTTTGTGAACCAGTGAAGTGCTTCCGGTTGGATAGCTAGGAAAATCGGTTAAACTGTGGCTCGCTGACCAGTGGTCATGTGAGACGACTTTCTGAAGGAATGGTTTCCTGAAGCGCAGTAAATGGGTTCACTTATGAAATGTGCCCAAAATTAGGAAACATCTCTTATCTGAGAAAGATGAAGTGCTTACTGGATCCAGGGAATTGTATTGCTGACGTTTTGAAGAGCTTGGCCGGTTCTCCATTATCAAAGCGTTGGGTGAGAAAATCGAGCGGAATTTTGAATAAACGGCCGAATCTGTTGGCCTTGGTCTGATCGATTTTTTCTTCTTTCGCCGCCTTGGCCCTCTACTCTCTCGAATACCGACCAAAACTCCCAATTTATAATAAACTAGCCGGGCCCGGCCACGCGTTGCTATGGCACAGGTGAATTCAAAATCTCTGTTGGATAATTCGATGTGGATGGGACATGTTGCAGACAACACTAATGCATACATCCCGGTATCGGTAGCTTTCAAATAAATTGATAGCCTGGCATGCACAACGGAAAGTGACATGCTTAACGCCGCTGACAGATTTCAATTGCTAGAAAGACGTTGAACCGGACACATTCACCACCACCGTGCGGAGTAAGAAGCATTCGTACCGATTTGGATGCACGATGTGCACTCTGCCTATCGCAGTTCCGTTGAAGATGCCAAGGTGTCCGTCGACTCGCTCTCATTTGCGTCGTACAAATGATATTCTACACGCATTCCCTGTGTAATACGTAGTTACTTCCGAATATGGCAGGGTTTTCACAAACGCGTCAGTGTGGCTGAACGGGAAGAACGCAGTTAATGTGTGTTACCGGTGGCCTGTTGCACATTTGCATCGGTATAGTAAACGCATTGCCCATTCACTAAGTGCACTGCAAGTAAACAACACCTGGACTTGCTCATGGATGGGAAAAGAAAGAATCCGCCACACAGATCTGTTACTGTTACAAGCGAACAACACCTGGACTTCGCTCATGAATGGGGAATGAAAGAATTCGCCACATTGAATTTCTTGCCGTTGACGCATCTTCCAGCCCAATACTGTGCGATTTCATCGAGTTGTATGCCCGTATCCCTTTCCCTCCTCTCGTGTTGCAGGTCAAATCAGCCATGTCGCTGCCGTTGCTCACGTACTTACAAATGTACCAAATTCATTTCTCGGAATTGCAGTTTTACACGTTCATGTGAACTTAACTTGCTTTTAAAAGCAAAGTCGAATACGAAACAACCCAGCGGTTACTGACTGGTACGTCACCGGTTCGCATTCGTACGGTTGTCAATTGCCGGCGTCTTCCGCTGATCGTTTTCGGTATAAGGGGACTTCCGTCGTTACCGGTAACTGTGGTGCATACGAATGCCCGAGGATATCTCTTAGAGCGTTTTCCGTCTGTCATACCAGGTGGTGAGCGGTGAGGGGGGGTGAGGACTGGGACTTGGGGCACCGCAAAGTCCATTTATAATATTCTTCGCCGCAACTTCGGGCAAATCATTGTCGACGTCGGCGTCAGGTAATTCAGCGCATATTGCATCGGCGATTTCGTTGATGGTGATCTTGTTACAGAGCCAGATCTAGGCGTGTTCGTGGGACAGTTCCCTCTTTTGCCATTCCCCCAATACATCAAGCAGCGCACAGACACTAAAACCTCGTGTTTCACCATGAAAATCATCAGCGATTTCAGTTTCTTCTTGAGAACACGTGCTGTGATGTCATACCTATTCACCGGCAATGGCCTAGGAAGTAAGAGCCGATAAATATCCCACCAAGCTGGAATGCATGTGAATGTAATGAGTAGGTCTGGACACCCCACACTGACAAACATAAACTATTGCACTTCGATCGTACCCGAGCATGTGGAGTGGACTGTCTGCGTATGTGGATGAAGAAATCATTTGTCCTACAACGTCAGGTGTATTACCGTCGTTTACAACTGCATCATGCAAAGGAATATATTCTTCAGAGCGCAGCTTGGTTTGATTCAAACGAATGAAAAACAGGCGTTCAGTTTCGATTTTTGCATACATATCCACAATGTAGTGATGAAGCAATTGACGGCATTTCAAAAGAGGATTATTTACATTCTGCCGAATCATAAGTCAGTAGGAGTAGTGGTTCATTGCGGTGCATTTCATGTGCGTTACCTCTTCACTGACTGCATTTATCATCTTAACGTGTAAGTTATATCCACCGGCAAATCCCGAAAAGTAAATGGATACTGTGTTGAAATTGGTCTCCTGCAGCCGGTATATATGATATCACCTTACCCTAAAATCATTAGTCTTCCAACGGTGGTTTTCGTACCGTCGTTCACAACAGCATCACGCAGCGTGAATGCTGAGCACGGAGGCGTGTTTAATGCTGGTCTGCTGTTCTTCGCTGGCGTCTTTCAGCCACTCTCAGTTGATAGTGTTCATTCTGTTGTTGAACGATACAGACCTGAAGCTGAAAAACGCGGTATCCGTGACTGCAAGCGGGCCTCCGCACGACACTGACCTGATACTGGGTGACAGTCCCCTTATGTGGGTTGTGCATGGGGAGAGGGGAAGGGGCTTTGTTAACCGCATCCAGTCCTCACCCCTCGAGAATCCCATCTGAAGCGGTCACAGCCCCATTATGTGGTTAGTGTGGGACAAGTTCAAGTGGTGCCCAAGAGTTGCATGATTTTTTGCTTCAGGCTGGGTGGTTTGCCTAGCTGCCCATATTGCATCGGCCCAGAGAGGGTGGAGGGCCTGCTCAAGTGCCTGCAGGGTGGGTGGTGGGGTGAGCGCGGCTGTCGGGCGGAGCCCGTGCGTTTGAGCGAATGTCGGTCAAGTGGCCACAGCCGGACCCCGCCACGCGTTGCTGTGGCTCAATCTGATGAATTGGGAAATAAGGGAAGGAGGAAGGGGCACGTTCCCAATTAAGAAAAATGTAAGGGCCACCGGTTGACTGTACGTATTATGTGTGAAACGCAGGATCGCCCTTCTAGCCGCTGTCGAAGGCAGGGCAATTGTTTGCTGCACCCAGTCGCGCTCGAGAATTCCGGAGTAAGTGATGACGGCTGGCATTTATTTCGTCCACCGGTGTCGATCGAGGCAGTGTTGGCCTAAAGTCTCCTGCAAGCAGTAGCAGTGCATCGGAAATGGTCTGCTGTTTCCTCGCAAATCCTGCAGTGTTCGATCAGGGGCCTCGAGGGCTTTTTTGCGCCATTGTGCATTCATCCTAAACAATAAGTTTGTATTTCTGCAGTACTTTTCCCATGCTGGATGCTTTGGAAATGTTACACGCGGGACATTCAATGCATTGCGCGTTCAAAGGCAATTTCGAAGCTGAATGAAGGGGTTTTCCGCCAGATAGCAGAGTTGCCGCTATTCCGGGGATGCAAGTGCTAGGGCTATGTCATTTATTGGATCGAATTGCCGTCAGAATCGGTCGTAGTAGGAACGTTTTGCCAGTCCCTTCTGGCTCATCTAGGAATAAGATTCCTCCAACCCCGTTCTTGACATTCCGCAGTATTTGATCGTAAATGTCATTCTGCTCTAGTCGTTGCTTGTGAATGTTTGATTCCTAGCATGGCAGAGGTTGAACCCTGTTTCGTTTTGCTCATGGCGCCAATCCACATCCAACGAAGCAACAGCAGATTGGTTTTGCGGTGACATTCCCAGTTGACTAAGAACTTTGATCGCGATTTCTGCGTACATATCCTCAATCAATATTAACGCCTCGCTGTAGATTCCTGCTGTGCAAGCCACATTTGAATTTTCCTTGCATAGTTTACGAAAGGTATCTTCAGCCATGGGCAAATTCTATTTCACCGGTAAATCTGTAGGAGATGAGAAGAGAATGCGGTCAATATGACTGCAAAAAATGCATGAATTTGATGTGGATGGTCGTGTTTCAGGCGTCATTAATACATTCGTCCCACTGTTGATCGTTCTCCGGTAACTGAAGAGCCTAACACGCACTGCTGAAAGTGGCATGCGTAGCGCCGTTGACAGATTTCAATTGCTGGAAAGACGTTGGACGTGGCACATTCATCAACAGCATGCGAAGTAAGATTGAGATGCACTGTATGCAGTCTGCCTACCGCAGTTCCTTTGAGTGTGCCGGGGTGTTCGTCCACTCGCTCTCCTCGTTTGCGTTGTTCGGATGATTTTCTACACACATTCCTGTGTAATGCGTGGGCACTACCGAATGCGGCAGTGTTTTCGCATAAGCGTCACTTTGGCCTAACGTGGAGAACGCAGTTAACGTTGTTGCCAGTGGACCCAAGGCAACCTGTTGCGCGTTTGCATCGGTAAAGTAAACGCATTGCCCATTTTCTAACTGTACTACAAGCGAACAACACCTGGACTTCGCTCATGAATGGGGAATGAAAGAATTCGCCACATTGAATTTCTTGCCGTTGACGCATCTTCCAGCCCAATACTGTGCAATTTCATTGTGTTGTATGTCCGCATCCCTTTATCTCCTTTCGTGTTGCAGGCCGAAAACGGCCATGTCGCTGCCTTTATTCACGTACTTATAAATGTTCCTAATTCATTTCCCAAAACTGCAGTGTTCCACGTTTATGTGAGCTGCGTTTGCTTTTGGAAGCAAAGGCGAATACGAAACAACCCAGTGGTTACCGACTTCTATGTCACCGATTCGCATTCTTACGGTATAAGGGACTTCCGTCTATCATGCCGCGGGAGGGGGGGGGGGGGTTGCAGAATTGGAATTCAGTGCATCCAAGGTCCACGTATCATATTCTTCGCCACAACTTCATGCAAATCATTGTCGACGTCGATATCAGGTAATTCGGCGCATACTGCGTCGTCGATTTCGTTGGAGGCGATATTGTTATAGAGCCAGATCAGGACATGTGCATGGGGCAGTCCCCTCTTTTGCCGTTCCACATAATACATCCAACAGCGCACAGATCCAACCACCTCGTGTTTCACCATGAAGTTCATCAGCGATTGCAGTGTCTTCCTGAAAACACGTGCTGTGATGTCATACCTATTTACCGTCGATAGCCCAGGAGGTAAGAGCTGATAAACATCCCCAAAGCTGGATTGCATGTGAATGTAATGAGTAGATCTGGACGTCCGTACTGGCCAACGTAAGGAATTGCACCTCGAGCGTGCTCGAACATATGGCGTGGACTCTCTGTGTATGTGGACGACAAAAGCGTTAGTCTTACAACGTTAGTTGTATTACCGTCGTTTACAACTGCATCATGCAAAGGAATGTATCCTTCAGAGCGCAGCTTGATCTGATTCAAACGAATGAAAAACAGGCGTTCAGTTTCGATTTTTGCGTACATATCCACAATGCAGTGATGAAGCAATTTACGGCATTTCAAAAGGGGGATTACTTACATTCTGTCGAATCATAATTCGGTAGGAGTAGTGGTTCATTGCGCTGCATTTCATGTGCGTTACCTCTTCACTGACTGGATTTATCATCTTAACGTTGAAGTGATATCCATCGGCACCATCCCGAAAAGTAAGTGGATACGCCGTTGAAATCGGTCTCCGCCTGCCGGTATATATGGTTTCACCTTGCCCTAAAATCGTTAGTCTTCTAACGGTTTTTGGCGTACAGTCGTTCACAACAGCATCATGCAACGTGAATGCTGAGCACGGAGACGTGTTGGACGCTGGTCCGCTGTTCCTCGGCCACTCTCAGCTGGTATTGCTCATTCTGTTGCGAACTAAGCAGGCCTGAAGCTGCAGAACGCGGTCGCCGTGACCGCAATCGGGCTTCCGCAAGCCGAGCTGCACTACACTGGGCTGAGACTGGGTGACTGCCCTATTATATAGGTTGTGCGGGGGGGGTGGGGCTGATGTTAACTGCATCCAGTGCAGTCGGGTGGAGCACGTGCGTTTGAGCGAATGTCGGTCAAGTGGCCACAATCTGGGCGCACATGTGTCTGCGCGCGATATAGGTCAAGTGGCCGCAGCAGGTGGTGTTGTTTGGACGGAAATAATCCGGTTTTTTACCCATCATAGGCGTACCATCGGCATAATTACACAATTGAACAGCCAAAAACCCGGCCCTATGCGCGGGTCGGGTTGTGTCCAAATTTCAGCGCAATCGGTGCAGTACTTTCGGAGATTAGATATAACACAGAAAAAGAAGCCTTCCATTTTTAGATATATAGATGATCTTAAGTGAAACAAATCAATTGCTAGAAAAAATATAACCTTCCTCAGAAATAACAGTTTTCTTACGAAAAACGGAAATATCGAAAGCTCAGAAAATCGTGTCATATGAGTGAATTAAGGTTTTGGAATTACGTGAAGCCAGCCCATGCAAATAACTGAGTAAATAAAACGAAAAAACGAACAAAACATGAAATAGTCCCTTATTGCAGTTTACTTTTAACCCACCTCCATAAATGGGCGTAAGACGGTGTATGACGGTTAGCCAAGTGCTTGTTGTACGATTATAGACTCCAAAACAGTTCCATGTGAATTTCCTGTAATTTTCCCCTTTGTATTATTTGAGATGTAGTTGATTCATATATAGAGGACACCGCTTGAGTTCGATGATAAAAACGTCACAAAAATCAAAGTTTTCACAAAGTCACATATCGAGAGGGCGGTCGGTGACTAAGAAATCTGCATAAAATTAGCAGATTCAATCACAAGCATGCCACGTTGAGTGTGAAGAGGACACTTCTTCTGCAGGAGCAGTGTGTGGTTTTTGGTGGCGGTGGGATCCGTAGAGTTTCAAAGTGTCCTTGGACTATCAGTGAATATTTTGTTGCCTACAGTCATCTTAATTGACTGCTCTGAAAAACGGGTTCTGCAATATGTTACGGAAATGCGAAAATTCCCGTGCAAGGATTCAGAAGGTTAATTAGTGAGCATACGTACACTTTCGACAAATCCTCATTGGGCCAGTACATTTATATGTGAAAGGATCGGGTAAAAGAGGTCAGTGTTTAGAGAAATCGATTAATGTTCGTCTTCACACGCAAGCAGGGTGTGAGAATAGAGGGAGAGGGATAATAAGAAGTAGTAAAGTTTATGGAGAGTCAGTAAAGGGGGAGAGAGCGGGAGGCCGTGAATAATTGCATGCAGTTAATCTCTAATTGTTTAATGGTAGAAACTGATATGAGAATTTTCGGACGACTTAAACGCTGGACATTTTGCTCGCTCGTTTAGCCCTTTCAAGTAAATGCGCTTTTCTCGTGCTGCAAATGTGTCCACGCAATTTTATCAAACAAAATGTTCATAAATGTCAGCGAACATGTACGTTGCCATATATTCGGGCAATTTTCTATGCCAGCACCTGTACTAGACTTCGGTTACACATCTGAGCGTGTTTTTCTTTAAGAGGAGAGTAACTTACCCTCGCACATAAAAGTTGATTTTTTGTCTGGTGCCAACCGTGGAAACCAGTTCGCTAACACACAAGTTATTTTTAGAGAACGTTCGGGTGAGCGTTCACACGTGACTCAACCGACCACACATTCGCTACTTCGATAAATGCCCTCAAGAAGTATCTTCTTTGAAGGTTTTAATAAACACATAATACAGAAACTGCCTTTATGGACAATCGATTGAAAACACCGCAAATCATGAAGTAGTCCGCGGCATTTTAATGCCGATATGTAACTCAGCGTGATCTAAAACATAAGTGTAAGCTAATTTTGCAGAGGAAAAGTCCTCTTTATATACATAAAATTGTATGTTGACGATTACGTCTGTCGACTGGCCTGGAAACGTGTGCCCTTATGAAAACCATTATCCCTATGACGTTCTTATCGGCAAAATCAAGCAAAATCCTGTCTTGCAAGTTCAAATATATTTCGTAAAGAGCAACCGGTTTCGATCGAGGCATTGGTGGTTTGAAGTCTCCTGCAGGCAGTAGCAGTGCATCGGAAGTGGTCTGCTGTTTCCTCGCAAATCCTGCAGTGTTCGATCAGGGGCCTCGAGCGCTTTTTTGTGAGCCATTGCGCATTCATCCCAAACAATAGGTTTGCATTTCTGCAGTACTTTTCCCATGCAGGATGCTTTGGAAATGTTGCACTTGGAAGTTTACAGGAATTGCATGTTCACTGCAATTTCGAAGCTGAATGAACGGGCTTTCTGCCAGGTAGCAGATTTGCAGCTATTCCGGGGATGCATGTGCTAGGGCTATGTCATTTATTGGATCGAATTGCCGTCAGAATCGGTCGTAGTAGGAACGTTTTGCCAGCCCATCCTGGCGCATCTAGGAAGGAGATTCCTCCAACCCCGTTACTGACATTCCGCAGTATTTGATCGTAAATGTCATTCTGCTCTAGTCGTTGCTTGTGAATGTTTGATTGCAAGCATGGCAGAAGTTGAACCGTGTTTCATTTTGCTCATGGCCCCAATCCACATCAAACGAAGCAGCAACGGATTGGTTTTGCGGTGACATTCCCAGTTGATTAAGAACTTTGTCCGCGATTTCTGCGTACATCTCCTCAATCAGTGGTAACGCCTCGCTGTATATTCCTGTTGTGCAAGCCACATTTGAATTTTCCTTGCATAGTTGACGGAAGGTATCTTCAGCCATGTGCAAATTCTATTTATCGCGTAGAACTGTTGGAGATGAAGGAGAGAATACGGTTAATATGACTGCAAACAATGCATGAAGTTGATGTGGATGGGACGTGTTGCAGGCGTCATTAATACACACGTCCTACTGTTGATCGTTATCCAGTAACCGAAGAGCCTGACACGCACTGCCGAAAGTGGCATGCGTAGCTCCATTGACAGATTTCAACTGCTGGAAAGACGTTGGACGTGGCACATTCACCAACACCATTCGAAGTAAGATTGGGACGCACGGTATGCAGTCTGCTTATCGCAGTTCCTTTGAGTATGCCTGGGTGTCCGTCCACTCGCTCTCCTCGTTTGCGCTGTTCAGATGATTTTCTACACACATTCCCTGTGTAATACGTAGGCACTTTCGAATTCGGCATTTTTTTAGCAAACGCGTCACTTTGGCTTAACGTGGAGGTCGCAGTTAATGTTGTTGCCGGTGGACCCAAGGCAACCCCCTTGCATATTTGCAGCTGTAAAGTAAACGCATTGCCCATTATTTAACTGTAAGGCAAGCGAACAACACCTGGACTTTGCTCATGGATGGGGAATGAAAGAATTCACCACACGGCTTTGTTGCTGTTGACGCATATTCCAGCCCAATACTGTGCGATTTCATCGAGTTGTATGTCCGCATCCCTTTATCTCCTTTCGTGTTGCAGGCCGAAAACGGCCATGCCGCTGCCTTTATTCACGTACTTATAAGTGTACCTAATTCATTTCCCAAAATTACGGTGTTCCACGTTTATGTGAGCTGCGTTTGCTTTTAAAAGCAAAGGCGAATATGAAACAACCCAGCGATTACCGACTTCTATGTCACCGATTCGCATTCGTATGGTTGCCAATTTGCCGATGTCTTCCGCTAATCATTTTCGGTATAAAGGACTTCCGTCTGTCATGTCGGGAGAGGGGGGGTTGGAGAATTGGGATTCAGTGCATCCAAGGTCCATGTATCATATTAGGTCAGTAGGTCAGTATATTTTAAGAGTAATAGGCAATGCCTTTGAAAGCCCACAACTTCATTCAAATCATTGTCGACGTCGATATCAGGTAATTCGGCGCATACTGCGTAGTCGATTTCGCTGGAAACGATCTTGTTATAGAGCCAGATCAGGATATGTGCATGGAGCAGTCCCCTCTTTTGCCGTTCCACCTAATACATCCAACAGCGCACAGACCCAACCACCTCGTGTTTCACCATGAAGTTCATCAGCGATTGCAGTTTCTTCCTGAAAACATGTGCTGTGGTGTCATACCTATTTACGGTCGATAGCCCAGGAGGTGAGAGCTGATAAACATCCCCCAAGCTGAATTGAGTGTGAATGTAAGGAGTAGGTCTGATCGTCCGTACTGACAAACGTAAGCAATTGCACCTCGTGCGTACTCGAACATATGGCGTGGACTCTCTGTGTAGGTGGACGACAAAAGCGTTAGTCTTACAACGTTATCTGTATTACCTTCGTTTACAACTGCATCATGCAAAGAAATATAGTCTTCAGAGCGCTGCTTATTCTGGTTCAAGCGACACTGAAGCAGGCGTTCAATTTCAAATTTTGCATACATATCCACACTGTAATGATTAAGCGATTGACGGCATTTCAAAAGGGGGATTACTTACATTCTGTCGAATCATAAGTCGGAAGGAGTTGTAGTTCATTGCGCTGCATTTCATGTGCGTTACCTCGTCACTGACTGGCGTTATCATCTTAACGTTGAAGTGATATCCATCGGCACCATCCCGATAAGTAAATGGATGTTGCGCTGGAATCGTTCTCCGACTGCCGGTATATATGGTATCACCTTACCCTAAAATCATTAGTCTTCCAACGGTTGTTGTCTTACCGTCGTTTACAACAGCATCAGGCTGCGAGAATGCTGGACACGGAGTCGTGTTTGACGCTGGTCTGCTGTTCCTCGCTGGCGCCATTCCGCCACTCCCAGCTGGCTGTGTTCATCCTGTTGTGAACGAAGCAGGCCTGAAGCTGCAGAACGCGGTAGCCGTGACCGCAACCGGGCTTCCGCAAGCCGGGCTGCACAATACTGAGCTGACATTGGGCGACAGCCCCATTATGTGGGTTGCGCGGGGGGGGGAGGGTCTGGTGTTGACTGCATCCAGTCCTCATCCCAGATAATCCCCGAGGCAGCGGTGACGGCCCCATTATATGGACTGTGGGGGACAAATTTAAGTGGCGCCTAAGTGTTGCCTGGTTTTTTTGCCCCAGGGGTGGTTAACTCAGGCGGCCCATACTGCATCGGCCCAGAGAGGGTGGAGGGCCTGCTCAAGTGCCTGCAGGGTGGGTGGTGGGATGGGCGCGGCTGTCGGGCGGAGCACGTGCGTTTGAGCGAATGTCGGTCAAGTGGCCACAGTCTGGGCGCACTTGTGTCCGCGGGGCTGTAGGTCAAGTGGCCGCAGCAGGTGGCGTTGTTATGGCGGAAAAAATCCGGTTTTTTACCCATCACAGGCATACCACCGGCCTAATTACAAAATTGAACAGACAAAAATCCGGCCCTATGCGCTGGCTGTGTTGTATCCAAATTTCAGTGCAATTGGTGCAGTACTTTCGGAGATTAGATATAACACAGAAAAAAACCCTTCCATTTTTATATATATAGACTACGAGGTCGCCGAGTTTTTCACGATTGGGTCCAATGGATTAAATATTGCTCAAACTGCTAACGCTCTGCTCGTTCCGCTTCTAAATTACGTATGGATTTAAACTAGCCCACACAAATCGTAGCTTATAATCTGTCCGAAAATCGAAGTGACCACTTGGTGGTGGGCCTTTTTGTGGTTGCTTATGGGGTATTCGCAAATGTCGGGGAAATATGGACACATTTAAACAAATGACTCCCTGCGGGCTTTAGTACTGCTTTTTGGGGCATGAAATCGAACGGATTTATGAATTCGGATTTTGAAAAGCAACAAAACCAATGGCCCTCCAAAAGAAACATGCTTGTCCCCATTCTGTTTCACCTAACCTGCGCAGGCTAAAAATCAGTTTTCAAATGCGTCAAGATTTGTTGGGAGAAAACGCCCCAGCCTACATTATTCTCCTCTCGTAGAAGGACTCAGAGGAATGTGCAAACCTAGCCTAGCACAACGAGTACTACCAGAAATTGCCCGGAGAGAAACGTTTCCTAAATTGCAGTCCTGCCATGCCAAATGAGCCTGCATGGTTCGTCCGAGAGCCTTCGCTGAAGGCCATTCCGCTACCGGCCGCCCAGTGACGCGTCGGGCAGATCGCAACCAGGCCAACATACAGGGCCCGCCGTCCCGGGGTTTCCATAGTCTCTGATCAATTGGTCTTCGAGCGTTAGAACAAGAGTACACACTTGAGTACTCATCTGTCAGGAAATTTATGACCGACGGGACAAATCGTAGAAGTGGTTGAAGTAAATTAGAGAGGGCTGGTGTGGAGGAGCTGTTAGTCTGTGTCAGCGCGCCCGTCCTCTGGTCTCCACTGCACAGGACAGATCCCTCATGCAGTTGTCTTACCTTTTTGCGGGCTAGTGCGCTTTTATTCCGCTTGTGGTGTTTGGACTACACCCTCGACCATGACTGCTGTAGGTATTTGTAAAAGGCGACATAATTTGGTGAAGAATGCATGGTCTGCGACTGGACTGACAGGTCTCCTTTTCTCGACGGGTGCAATGCGTTTTGCAGGACCTGTCTGGAGGACATTACTGCCGACGTGATGATCACGTTTCTCACAAAGCCTTCCCCCCTTCCCCGAGGCGCATGTTTTGCCGGTTGGCGTAGTTGTTGAGATTCGCGGGGTGATCGAGATGTAGAGGTCACAGCAGGCTGAGTGCGTCGCCATCACGATGGGGCTCAGGCGGGCCACCACCCACTCACTGAGGATCGACTACAGACGCCAGCCCTCCAACACACACACACACACAAAGTGCACACACAGGACAGGGCTAAAAAAGGACTGTTTTGTATCCCTTAGCGTCTGCACGACTCCAGCATTTTGTTTACAGAGCGCCTGACGGCAGTCTAGTGTTTTGTCAAGGCTGTGCGGCATACACGCTATGCGCCGTAAGCGTTTTTTATATGGCCTTCCGGATCGCCAGATTCGAATGTTTTAAACGTACGCACGGAGCGGGATCTACAATTTCAACGGAGATTGCGCAAATCATGAGAAGTCAGTCGCAATCCTCAAACTGTAGAAGAGAGACGCGGTAGCTGGAGCTGGAACTTTATCCACCAGATCTTTCGGATTCGCAGTCAAACCTATCACCAGACACATCATATAAGTGTAGTGGATGCCCAGAGGTTGCAGTATTTAGAGGACGCAGTTGTTGCGTCATCGCACGCCGAGCAAAATTAGCGTCTCCCGCAATCATAGCTGAGGGTTACATTTGGTGCAATAAATGATTTGATTGCGCGCAACTGGCTAATTACCCTGACCAGGCAGGGTCCCAGCACTGAATGTGGAAGGTGAGGACGTTGTGCTTGTTAATCCACCGCGAGGTGGAGGACCACCACTCAGAAAACTCAAGGCTCACGCACTCGCGAGAATTCCAGCCTGATCGAACTTGAAAGTGTGACTGTGTCCCGTCTAGAGAGGCGCGACCTGGGGACTGACGTCGTTGCTGCTGCGTGCTCGGCCATCAGCGTCCGAAGCAGTCTCCTAGTGTCTCCGACGTAGTCGTCTTGCCCGCATCAGCATCAAATCCGATAAACCACTCCACACGTTCCATGCGTGACGGTGTATTTTTCGGCATCATTACTTGACACCTGATAGTTGTTTCTGGTCAGCGTGCAACCCAAGCTCCAAGTGGTGTGAGAAGGCGGCTGACGACTTCTGAAGCACAGTTTGGGGCTGTAGGATTTGGTTTCGCGTCTGATTTTCGCACGCACCGGATGAAAAAAATGTTCAGTTGGCCATTCACTCCGAGCACTCGTTGAAGGTATTGCATTAATACTAATATTACTACTACTACTACTACTACTACTACTACTACTACTGCTACTACTACTACTACTACTACTACTACTACTACTACTACTACTACTACTGCCACCACCACCACTACTACTACTCCTGTTGTCATTGCTATTAATGCTATTACTACTATTGCTACCACTAATGATATTACTTCCGCCGAAGCTCTAACTACCACTAGTCCATCGAAGGAATTGGGGTTCGGGGCAACGCATCCAAATACGCCGTTACAGTGTAAATATGCATCAGCGTTCATAGTTGATGAGGTGAATGAAGACAAATACTTGCGTCATATTTGTCGGCTTAATGAGCACAGTTGATTTAAGCCATCACATATAGACAACGACATCGAGGGAAACCAGCTGGTTGACATAGTTACGTGGAAAGCCACTTTCTCCGAGAATCCGTCGAAGCTATTGCAGTACGACAAGTTTACCAACTGGCAGTGTGCGTCAGTATCCATAGAACGCCGATTGATAACTTCAGTGAGTCAGGTGTGAGCAAAGGCTGACTGACAGACGTCAAAATTCTTCACTGGTTGGCGGAGGGACGATAACCAAACAAGTGGTGCATGGGAGAGAAAAGGGAAAGTAAGGTCAACACTGAGGAATCCATCCCCACAGCACTTAAGCGCTTTCCTAACTATAATGGATCTGACGCACTTACAGCAGGTCGGCTAACTCATGAAATGTCAACCAACATTTCGAAATGCGTTCTCGTTTCGAAAAGATTAATTAAGTAGGGTTGTAAAGCTAATCATCATGTTGCATAATTCTATAATGATCCAGTTACTTCAGGGTGCCTTCTTTCGAACGTACTTATTACCGACTGCATGCAAGAAGTATACCCTGCAAAAAATGACTGCTTACGTAGCATGCAATCTTCCCATTGATTTTCTATGACCTCAACAGTTCAATTATATTTCATGAAGAAATGCTTAAAAATATTCATTATTTTGCTTATTCGGTAGAAAATCACGTCTTCTTCCAATTTTATATTTGAACGAAGAGTATAATTCGGTTTTAAAAAAACTTTTCTAATTGTGAGATTTTTTAATACCGTGAAACGGCCGTTCATAAAAGTTAATGTATCTGCATTTACCAATGTGGCTTGTAAAGTTAATCATATTGCTTAAATCCTTTGCTTAACTTTATGAACCCCATATGGTCTCCTCTTAACATCGTAGAGAAATGTACGGTTTTCCGTACACGGAAAATATACGGCTTGTATTTTTGAAGCCCTTAATGCAAGTATAACTGCAGGTCGGTTTCAGAATTATTTGGGAATTAGAAAAGTTTTTTTAAAACCGAATTGTACTCTTCGTTCAAGTATAAAATTGGAAGAAGACGTGATTTTCTACCGAATGAGCAAAAGGATGAATATTTTAAAGCATTTCTTCATTAAATATAATTGAACTTTTGAGGTCATAGAAAATAAATGGGAAGATTGCATGCTACGTAAGTAGTCATTTTTTGCAGGGTATACTTCAGTCGGTAATAAGTACGTTCGAAAGAAGGCACCCTGAGGTAACTGGATCATTATAGAATTATGCAACATGATGACTAGCTTTACAACCCTACTTAATTAATCTTTTCGAAACGAGAACGCACTTCGAAATTTCGGTTGACATTTCATGAGTTAGCCCATCTACTTAAAGTCTGTTAGGAAGGAGCAAGAGTCGTTGCTTGGAAGGTTGCCAACTGACAGGGTACCTCGCTTCTTTTCAAAACTGGAGGGGGGGGGGGACGAGCGGTCTGCAACGTTGCCTTACTACGGCCTTCCTAGCAGTCTCACGCATGTGGGAGAAGATCCGACCTTATAGTGGCCTGATGCACGTGGCGAAAACCGGGTCGCGCTTGGTCCGCGTAGACGGGATGTTCGGCTTTATGAGCCGCTGTGCCAGCGAACTTCTCTAGTTGTCTTGTCATTAGAGTAAGGTGGGTGGAGCAGGGGACAGCGCAGTAGATGTTACGCAAGCCTGGTTCACTAGAATCTGATTCACGTGCATGCCCTTGGTACCGCACGCGCGTGGCAACGTCTGTCGCGTTCACGTGCCTTATGGATCACGGTTGCTGTAGAGATTCCAACCTAAGCAATGAGTTCTTCGGTTGCACTACACGGTTGTGTGACTCTGCTTATGGCAACTACTGTCTTGCGGATCCCCCCTTTGATTGTGTATGCGTTGCTAGATAAGGTACTCGGGTCGTTCATTCACTTAGTCCAGGTGCGGGTTGTGCGTCCTTCCTGTAGCCTGTCATACTGCTCTGTGATACCACATCTGTAGGTGTCATTTACCCCGTAAGCCCATCTGCCGTTCTAAATTTTCCTTTTCCCGCATGCTGTGCAGATAACACACTCAGAGCTGAAGCAGCTCCTGCTTTCAGCACTCGTGTCGCCTTCTTTCGGGCTCGTTAACGGCGGTTACTCTCTCCTCCCCATCTCTGCTACCTCTGGCGGAACCAACATCAGTGCGCTGTCCCGGTACCTGGCCTTCGGTCTCTCCCCCACGACGCCCTACGTGGACATGGCTTGTTCTCCGCGTGCCGTCTCCGTCCTTCGCGGTAATACCTTTCAACTGCTGCACACGGCTCTCCTCACCCCCCAGTTGGGCCCTATCCTCACGCCCGCGGAGTATACTGAGGCGCTGAAGGCTGCCTGCTCATTGGTCAGTAATGCAGCCAATTACCAAGCCCGGGAACTGGATGTCAGTCACAGAGACCGCTTAAACCAGCCGCCACTGCAGGTGTAAATACTAACCGATCTACAGATCGCCTCCGGTCTGTACGCGCTGGAAGTGTACGCCCTCCTTGGCCTGTTGAGGCTTCACGGCCACGATCCCTGTCGATCTCTTTCTCTGCAGAAAAATTTTGTAAAAGGGGGAGTTGGGATTTGTGCTTTGTACAACGGCGCTGCCTTGTTAAATCTCCTCTCAACATTGTTAAGTTCTCGTGCACTTTTTGGGTTTTGCGCGAGCTTTTGGAGGCCAGCAGATTGCAGTTGAGTTCTATTGTGTGAGCTCCAAAATGTCTTAGCTTTATGATGTCTGGGGATTTATCCATCTAAGATATATTCACAGGAAAGTGCTTAAAGCGCCCTGTTTAAGTGTTCATTCCTCTTGGAAAAATGAAATATTCCCACGACCGTTTAGGAGAGAAACCAAATGATTCTTGAACAAACCATTTTAGGGTTCGTTTCAGAGGTGCCGGGGCAACCTGATTTCCGAACCGATCAGACTCGTTTTAGCTCTTTTGTCATCGTGAGCCATCCACAGCCCGACCCCAGGCCAGAAATATTTGGGGTATGGACTATAGTCTAGTTGGTCGTCGAGCCTAGTCTTGCCACTGGATCCAGAGGCCCAGGTTTTAGTCCATCTTGTCTCCTTCGATTATGCTTCCCGACCATAGATTTTTCGTCACCATATAATCGCTTGTGAGGTCCAGACGGTAGCTCCATTTCCAAAGTGAACGCATCTGCGAACGCCACTTACATATGACTAAGGGCTCAGAAAATTGTTTAAACGCCAGTTAACCCTAAAGACACATGCGAATATAGTCCTTACATCAGAATATGGTGAACATCGATGATTTTACGGAAGTCCAGTAGACTTACGCTGTCAGCAAATCACTCGAGT